CTCGGACCCATGAGTGGGTGTACCGTTGGCACTCGCAGAGCCGCTACTCATACTGGGTGTCAGGTGGGATGGCGTTGTGGGTGTCGCAGTGCAACTGTTCGCCTTTGAATACAAGGAGTCGTTTCGCCTACTTGCGATGAAATAGACACGTTCGATGCCCTTGCAGCTGCTTAGTGATTTAGCCATGGCGGTATCTGTATCGTCGGTACGAATCATCTTGAGGTTGGGTGCATATAAATTGCCAGGGGTCGCCTTCCACGAATTGTCAACGAAGACAGTAAGAGGATCAGAAGAACCTCCACAATTGATAATTGTCATCTCAGTCCTAGTCTCCCGACTGAAGACGTCGTACATGTCTTCGGAGGGGTAGCGAGAGTACAAGTTATACAAGGTAACGCGCTTGACTGGCAATGAGTATTTGGCAGCTATACAGCGACCAAATATGGACAACAAATTGACGGATTCTTCGCCCTCGGCGCGCATGCGTGGGCTCCAATGCAGAGTGATGTTTTCAAGCTTTTTGGAGCCGAGCAAAAGTAGCGAGATATCATCGGGATAACAGAGAGGGTCTATATCGTAGACAACCAAGGTCTGGAGGCTGAGCAGCGGGGGGATGATGGTAGTGGGGCGTGGCGTACGTCGCAGTTGGCACCTGATGGTCAGCGAGGCCAACGTAGGTCTACTCACGAGACCCTGGTAGATAGTGTGCAGTGGTGGAGTGTTAAGTTCCCAGCTGGAAATGCATTAGCAAAGCAAAGGAGTCGGAGGGAGAGGGGGGCGTGAAGGCGCCAACGTACGCAAAGCTGTCGAGACTGGTCATGCGGTCGATTGCAGCCCGCATAGCAACCTGCAGCACCATGCTACTGTCCGGCACACGACCGTGTCTGTAGTCTTCGGTGTCTTGCTCGCGCCAGTTGCCCAGGACGCGAAATTTGCGTATGTAGTTGTTGAAGTTGCGCGACACGAGCGTGTTCAGTCCCATGGCAAAGGGGCTGCCACTACCATAGCCTTCCGGCCTGCCATCGACATATCGGATTTCTGAATAGGCGCGCAGTGTGACATGCTCGTACAAGCGCGGCATGGTCATGTAATAGAGGAGGCGCGAGGTGCGTGTAAGGCGCGCAAGGTCAGCGACATGGTCGAGCTTGGGTCAGGGTTAGCGGATGGGTTCTTGCGAGGCTCGGATGGCATACATGTGCATACGTATGTGAGAATCAGATGGACAAGGTGTAGCGGGAGCTCTTTGCCATGCGTTGCATCTGGATGCGATCGTGCTGGCGACGTGAAGAAGGTGTGGACGGGAGCCATCAGAGGCATGCCGGCGGCAGCATACATGTTGGACATGAGAAAGGTCGATGGCAGCACATTGAATGTCCAGACAGACGCGGCGTTGGGGGGGTCATGGCAGCATTGTCGTCAAGCACATACGTACATGGACGTTGGCCATGACCTTGCCCAAGCCAGTGTCTGCTTGTGCGCCCAGGGTGTACTGGCGCTGTTCGCGCCACCAACCCGAAATTGGTCCGGCAGCCCCAGCACCACAAGATCCACGACTAGCATCTTGCTGCACTAGGCCGTCCACAGCCGCAAGACACCCCGGACACATAATTCCGTATTACGACACACAACGGCCTCGTCCGAAAAAAATGAGCCACAATCCCCGGACTGCGTTATTGCACTACCGCTGCTTCTGCTACTCCTGCTGACGTAGTTGAGGGGCGATGATACAGACAACCCCTATGTCCAGAGCCTTCGATAATTACTACTTTGTCCTTCACAATGAGCACCGGTCCGTCTAACAAGACTAGTGCCTCAAATCGGCCCAATCGTGCAGGCCCATCACTGCGAATACCGCCAGATGATCCTTCACCCTGGTCTGAAGAACCAAGGCTGTCTGGCTCCATATTCATCCCCAGGAGTTCGAAAGGGAATCTCCACAGTGCCTTCAAATACACTCATTGGTACCGCCTTGTCCTTGTCCTTGTCCTGCCCTGCCAACCTATCCTCTGACACAGTCACGACAACACCACACTCCCAGTTCCTGATGTTGAGACTGCCCATCTTGCCATTTTTGATTACTCTTTGCCCTCCCCATGCCGATTCCGATAGGTTGGCCGACCCAACGTAAACCCACCCAACCGGCCGTCCGTCCTTCTTACGACCGCGTGCCAACAGAAGTTTGTTATGAGATAGCATCCCTGCTCGCAGCGACTCATAGTCGCGGAGACACTCTCTCGGGAATGTGGCTGTGTTATAATGTTGTTGCGACAAGGAAATGATACCACCGCAGTCGGGACCTCCGACACTTTTTCCCACCGTCTCGTTGGTGGGGAAGTAGATCCGGATATGGTTACGAACATGAGGAACCGTGGCCGTGTCTGCTGCGAAGCATTGTCCGCATGCTGCAAGGTACAAGCGTGATAGGAAACTATCGTTGATAGCACCAAGCGAGGAAGCGGCGTAATCTAGTTCCATTTGCTCTACCTTGTCAAGGCGCAAATCCTGGATGGCTCTTGTGAGGCCTGGAAGGCCTGTCGGATGCTCTGATTCAGTTTTATGTGAACCGCCACTACAATGTGTTAGCTGAAGCCAAAGATTATCATATGAACCATCATACATGGAATGAACAAAAGCTAAGTGACTGGTTTGTGAAAAATCAAAGTTCAAGATGCCCTGCAAGACCATCTCTGGTACTTTCTGCATCTCCAAGAAATACATCAATTCTTGACCAAAGCGTGTCATGTTCTCTTTGGTGGAAGTCGTTTCATTGCCCCTACGGGGCAGGTCGATAAGAAAGACGGAGTTTTCCATGACACCAGGCTGCCAGTCATTCGCAACCTCTCCCCAGTCGGTCTGTATCATGTTTGCAGTTGGTATTACGATACGTAGCTTCTTCGACCCAAAGAGTAGCATGAACTTGCTGTGCATACTTTGTATCATGCCGTCCATGGGTGGAAAATGAATCTTCAGATTCGGTACGCCCATGTCTTCTATTTCGTTTTGCCATCTCTGCTGGACGTCTTTGCCTTTTGCATTCATGATCCATACCTGTTTGGTCTTGACGGGGTTCAGCTTTTTGAACAACCATTCGGAGTCCCACATGAATGAACTTATGACTGCCGTGCGAACTGTGTCTGCTTCTAGGACTTCCTCGATGGTCATGTCGTCTGTCCTAGGGTATTTTGTGGCGAATGTCCGCTTGATAGCGCCCATAGGATACCGTATGGCTGTGTCTGTAGATGACGCAGGGAGTGGTATTGTCTTTGATGCCTGTTTCGAAGGTCGCTCTGGGGACGACTCCCGCTTCCGCTTTCCTAGCCTTGCGAGACGCTCTTCTTCCATGGCTTTTCGATCCATGCCCATGGAGCTGAGACCTGGCTTAACGGGAGTAGATATCGCTATACTCTTGTTGAGTGGCTGCACATGGTTATCATTGCTGTCTCCTTGCAAGGATAGGGCAATAGCACGTTTGAGATCTTCGTCATCGTCATCCGTGTCCGAGACGAGGTCGATGGGCTCGCTGGAGACTGCCTTGATATTCTGCGCGACGTCCGCATCGGTATGTCGAAGCGAGTTTGCCACAGCCATCTTGTAGTCTTCATCGTCGGATGACATTGCAGTTCTGATAGCTGCAAGGTCGTTATTGTCGAGCGTGCTGATGGTGGGGTAAACAAGAGACAAATTGCACGCGTTAGGTTAGGAACACGCTCGCACGTAGTCACGTGGTCATAGCTTGGCAGTGGTTAATGTCCACCCCCTAGGTGGCGGCCTGATGATGCCTTGACAATCTACTGGCAATACGAAGCAACAGACTCGACGCATTGTTCTCACATCCAGCAGGTAAGCCTATACCCCTGATGCTTGTCATTATTTTGCCTCACCGGTCGCACTCATCCCTGCACACCGGAACTGCCCAAGACCCTGATGCAAGACACGCTGCACGCACAGCCCAGAGCCCGAGCTCGGATAGATGAATGAATCTAATGCACTGGCCGCAGTGGCTTGTCCGCCATGCATCGTATGCATTGCCTATTTGGTCCGCTAAGCCACCACGCTGGCATGAACCCAAGCATCCTACCAATCCCAATATCCTCGGCCATCTGTAGTACAGGGGAAATGTGGCTGATACGTATATCCAGACAAGGAGAATAGTAGAAGAGCGATAGCACTAGCGCCCTCGATACCAGCCACATTACCTCTTCCACGACTTCGCATCGACACCTTATGTAAGCCAGATTATGCGTTTCCCTCGTAGCCCTGGCTTGCATCTTGGATTCGCTGAGTATTCTAATGTACTACACAGCGCCATACATCTTTCATGTACCAAACATGACCCAGGTACACTGGTATTTCCGCCACCCTATGCACACATTTCAACCCCCATGAAGCGTAGAAACAAACATGACATGGTCCCCTTTTTGTACTTGATAGTCATCTTCCCCTTCTAGTTCCCAGTCCGCTTCGTTAATAAGGACCAGGATGCCAGGTCGTCTGATTCAACATATTAGTACGTACGAGGTTACTTTGCCCTCTAAACTTACACAGTGCCGTCTAGCACGAACAGTTCTTTACGTGGGTCCTTCATGACTTTGTCGCAAAGAAATCTCACTAGAAAAGCGACAGTTGTGGGCTTGCCAGATTCGTCTTTGGCGGGCAGTGAGAGATCGTATTTCTTCTGATTGGCAAAGAGGATCTCGAGCCCTCCACTGTGAGGGGAGTCAATGAGGAGCGCATTGCGAAGATGCCGTTGAAATATACCTGAACTCGACTGTTATTGGAATAGTGCCATCGCTCGACATGATTCTTATCAACAACAGCAACCAGAGAAATATTGACAATGTTGAAATGCTCGTGTTGCAGAGATGGGTTGTGCTTGTTCTGGCCGAGGATGCAAACGGGTCTGCCGCCACTACTACCTAAGCGAGACTAGCGCCAGAGAAATCCTTATGGCGGGATGACTAGGTACAGTACTCGCGCAGGCACAACAACCATTGCAAACAATGCACGTCTCTCCTGAATTCATAGCCACGGGTGGCAACCGAAATCCCGCGGCCGCCGATTGGGATGACGCTGGTTTGCAATTCTTGGCTTTTGGCGCCGACAATAATATTGCCCTGTGGGATCCTCAAGTGAGTCCGCAACAGCAATGACGTACTCTTTGCTCACCAAGACAGGATGAAGCACTTCGCGGAGTACAAGCAATCTTAAGCGGGCATACCAAGCCTGTAAATTCTGTCAAGTTCTTCCCTACTCAGTCATCAGACGTCTCAGTCTTGCTTAGTGGATCAGCCGACAACACCATCCGCATATGGCGAGGCAGGAGAGATGAACGCTTTGAATGTCTGAAAACTATATCGGAACATCAACAACCTGTCACCCGGATAGCCACACTCCCTGGATCAAATACCTTTGCCACTGGATCCTCCGATGGTACTGTCAAGATTTGGAGGCTCACTCACTCTTCAGACTTTGCTTCAATTGATGTCGACATTGTCCAGACCATAACGCTTTCTCCCAAATACTTTCCCCTGAATCTAGCGCTTGCGAAATTGGATGAAAGCTCAACCGTGCTGGCTGTCGCTGGTACTCGTACAACCATCCAGATATTCGTATCTCAAGACAGCCAGTTTCAGCTTTCGGCTACACTGACCGGACACGAAGGATGGATCCGCGCACTTGCTTTTACCAAAGAAACAGCAGACTCAAACAGTGATCTTCTTCTGGCTTCTGCAAGCCAAGACAAGTATATTCGTCTCTGGCGACTTCACCGAGGAGACGAACTTCCTGCTGCGAGCACTGCGCTAAATGACCCTGCCTTGGGTGGTATGGGGAAATCGCTATCGAACAAAGCTCATTGGATTAGTTCAGCTGCATCCAAACATTCAATAACATTCGAGGCTTTGCTGTTAGGCCATGAGGACTGGATCTACCAAGCGTCTTGGCGGCACCGGGATGGAAAGCTACAGCTGCTGTCCACTTCCGAAGACAATTCTCTGTCGATCTGGGAGTCTGATCCTACTTCTGGTGTGTGGGTTTGTGTCACTCGGTTAGGAGAGATCAGTGCCCAAAAAGGTTCGACAAGCGCTACTGGCAGCGCAGGGGGTTTCTGGATTGGACTCTGGTCACCGGACGGCAACACAGTAGTGTCTCTCGGTCGTACCGGCAGTTGGCGAAAGTGGACATTCTCAGCTGTAGAGGATATGTGGACACAGCAGGTGGCTGTTACAGGGCATGTGCGTGAAGTCAAGGGTGTGTCATGGTCGAGAGATGGCTCGTATCTACTCACAACAGGCACTGACCAGACAACACGGTTGTACTCGCAATGGAAGCGCGACGGTATGTCACCATCATGGCACGAATTCTCACGGCCACAAATACACGGATACGATCTCAACTGCATCGATACAGTCTCGGATACTCAGTTCATCTCCGGTGCAGACGAGAAGCTCCTCCGTGTCTTTGACGAACCAAAAGGCGTCGCAGAGATGCTCCACAAGCTCTGCGACACACAACCGTCCAAATCCGCCTCATTCCCAGACGCCGCCAATATCCCCGTCCTAGGCCTCTCAAACAAAGCCATCCAAGCCGTCAGTGATGAAGACGCCATCGAAAACGGCGATGACGACGACCGCGAAGCCATCGACCCCGCCTCAGTCATCCGCAGATCTACCCTCGATTTCAAACACCCCCCCTTTGAAGACCACCTCGCCCGCCACCTTCTCTGGCCCGAAACAGAAAAACTATACGGCCACGGCTACGAAATCTCCGCCTTGGCCATCAGCCACGACGCCAGCCTCGTCGCCACCGCCTGCCGCGCAAGTTCCATCGACCACGCCGTGATCCGCCTCTACGACACAAAAGAATGGCTCGAAGTCAAACCGCCACTAAAAGCACACTCCCTCACCGTCACTTCCCTGGCTTTCTCCCCAGACGACAAGTACCTGCTTAGCGTAGGCCGCGACCGCCAATGGGTCATTTGGGAACGCAGCCCTGATGCACCATCGCTTTTAACTCTCAAACACGCAAATCCGAAAGGCCATTCTCGCATGATTCTTGATGCGGCATGGACGCCGATAGCGGATCACCCAACGTTCACGACGGCCGGAAGAGACAAGAGCGTCAAGATATGGCAGATGACCGATTCAGAAGTCATCCTCAAAGCTACGGTCGCGGCAAATGCCCCTGTTACGGCTGTGGCGTGTAACACCACGCGCAAAGATGCGGGCCAGAAAGTTGTCTTTGCGTTTGGAACCGAAAACGGGGACTTGGGGATTGGCAGTGTGGGTATCGAGGCGCTGGATCAGGTTGCGGTGGCTATGGTGGATAAGGAGGTGCTACCTGCTAAGACGATTAACCAGATTGTTTGGCGACCAGGCAGAGGGGGTGAGGGACAAGAGCAGATTGCCGTTGCGAGTGATGATACTTCGCTCAGGATTTTCAATGTCAAGGATGATATGGCGTAGCAAGTATAGAAAGAATAAAGTGTTTTTCTCTCATCCTGCACTCAATGATTTATATTTTGCGAATCTCGAATCAAATGAAGAAACAAGCTCGAAAAAAAAGAAAGCATGATTGATGAATGTCATTAAATTATATATCGCTCGGGGGGGTATCTTGTCCGCACAATTGCTCACACCAGTTATCCTCCACGCCTCATCTCTTTCCCTCACGCATACCGCGGTCCAGCACCCTTTTCATTGCTCGGCCCCGCCACACCAACACCCGGAGCGCCAGCACCTTGTTGTGCAGGATGATACTGCATCGGCACCATATACCCCTGCTGTCCCATCTGCTGCGGCATTGCAGATTGCGGTTGTTGTTGTTGTTGTTGTCCTGGCACCTGCTGCATATACATGTGCTGAACCGGATATCCTTGAGGAGGAACCTGATAGTACATCCTCTGTCCCATGCCGGGCTGCATATGTGCCTGTCCTGGCGGGGGTATAATAGCACCGTTGTTGATCATAGTCTGAACGATTCCCGCGGCGAGTTTCTCGGCGTCCTTGCTGACTTTTGTGCGGTTGCGGCGGTGGGTGTCGACACAGGCCCAGACGAAGAGGACAAAGTGCAGGACTAGGCCAAAGAACTGGCATACGACACCTGTCAGGTTGACCCTAGCACGCTGTGGCTTCTCGGCCCAAAGCTTGTTGACGAATGCATCTTGCTCGGCGCAGTCTTTAAAGTTCATCTCGGAGAAGACGCTGTAGCGGCTGGTGCAATCGCGAGGACTGGTGATGTAGCTCGTATCTTCCTGCCAGACCCAGGTGTTGTTGGCCGCTAAGACGTAATCGCCATGAGAGCTGGAGCTAGAGTAGTCGTAGCCCCATTGATCAGGACCGCCATACATGCCGTAATCCATTATGTTCTGGAGAGAGAAAAGCGCAAAGAGCGCTGTGACGATAAAGGCTAGCCATAGGAGTAGTTCCATCGACACGCGCACACCGGGATGTACAGTACGTTTCCGCACAACGAAGACAATGATGCAGATGAGGCACCAGGCGATGGATATAGACCAAGAGATTAGACTGGGCCATAAACCCCAGTATGAATCGAGGATGTAGTAATCAGAGGCCCCGGTGCGCGTGGTCATGAGCCACGCAAAACAACCAATGCCGACCAAGCCAGTTATGATGATAACGGCCATGACGGCGAACTTGAATTTCCAGTATCGGTCGCCAGCATTGAGTTTGTCGTTCAATGAAAGTGGTTCATCAGCTGTGGTCGCTTGTGGGGCTGCAGCAGTTGTCGTATTCGGACCGGGTGAGGGAGTACCCGCAGCAGCGATCGGCGCATCTTGGTTCACATTCGCGTTGGTGTTCGCACTCGGTCTGGTAACTGATTCCGATGGTATTGCTGGGGGCTGGGGTGTAGAATCCTGTGTATTTGAAGACGGGGTTGGTGCCCCGGTTGCCGGTGGGGCGACCTGAGGTTGCGAGGTGGACATTATTAGATAGTATTGATCAATTACTTAGAAGAAAAAAAAAGAACGAGTGTCGATATTGATGAGAGCGAGTGAATGTGCAAAAGAACGCGCGATGCCAACGGTCAAAAGCGAGGCATAAAGAGGAAAGAGGTTGCCAGGCAGCAGAGGGTCAAGACTTCTCCTGCAGCCTCGCCACGTCCATAGCGCGCTGGTTGCCTGATCCCAAATCGTACTGGATGGCTTAATTTAGCTTGAGGCTGCACCGGAACATTGTAGGCCCGCTGAAATTCGATGCAGGAGCATCTCTTAGCTCCGCGCTATCATGAGCTTGATTTAGCCTTGATTAAACCACTCTATCCGTGTTGAAAATTTCCTGGTCATGCCTCTCGGCTACGAGGTAAACGTGTAAAATGGCTGCGCTTGTGACGATGACTGAGCAATTGACAATGAGTCACCCGCTCTCTAACCAACCAGGCGCGATGTTACGACCCAATAGACCTGATCTCCACTGTCTCGATTATAGCACGATTGTATAGCATCCAAGAGCAATCGAAAAGTATAGCCACCAAGAGTCAGTCTTAGCATTAGAAGGCTGTAGTTGAATATGAAGGAATGGGGAGCCAAGACATTATACCATGACAAGCGAACATTGCCAAACCCTTTCTGTGTCTTCCATATTTTCCCAAAGCCGGCTTTATTGCATCTGATATTCGTCCAATGCCATTCCCCTGGCAATCTTCTTGATAAGCGCCTTTTTCAAGAACTGCTCTCGAGCAAGACTTCGCGTTTGCTGTGGACTATTAGCATCTGTTCAATGGAGCAAAACTTGGGACAATAGTAAATACCTTGACAAATACATCCGGGGTAATTCGCCCTTTGTCAAGCGCTCGTCCCAGAACAAATAGCGCGTCTGCGATGCCTTTCTCTTCTGCAGTCAAAGTATACAATTGGCCCCCAACTACTGTGGGCGCTACTAGAACATCATCAACGTCTGGAGCCTTCCTCCTTCTCGCATCTTCCATGACTCGATCCGCCTCGATCATGGCACCTTTCAACACCTGTTCATTCGAGGCAAGCGCTGCATCGAGCTGCTGTAGTTCGCCTAATTCAGCCTGTAATCGAGCATGTGCATTTTGAAGAGCCGCTTGCTGAGCACGAAGTGGTGCTATGGCAGCCATGTTAGATGAAACTGTTTGGTTGATTTGCGAGACAAGCGTCTGGCTGAGAGCCCGGAGAAGCGCATCTTTTTCAGGATTTGGTGGCACCGGTGGTACCGGTATAGGGATTTGGTTGCCTGACTGTGAGGGCAGTGTGACCTCTAGTGAATCGTCGAGAAGGTCGACTGGGGGCTTTGGTACATGTTGTGGTTGTTGTTGCTGTGGGTATTGTTGGTTTTGAGGCGGAGGATAACCTGGCGGGTACTGTTGGTAATGCTGCTGTGCTGGAGGAGGTTGTGTAAATTGTTGTTGCGGAGGTGCTGGGGGTCCTTGATATTGGTTTCTCGGTTGGAGAGGAGATACTTGATGAGGTCCCGAGCCTTGAAAGTGTGATGCGGTTATTTGGCCATTGGGCGTCATTGGGCTTACTGGACTTCCCGTTTCGAACGACTGCTGAGGGTAGGTATGCGCCTGTACTTGTGGATGTTGAGGCCGTGACATCGACATGTTCCGGTTCTCGTGTCCACTGGGCCCATACTGTTGTCCTGGTGGTGGCGGCTGCTGTTGCTGCTGCTGCCAGTTTGATGGCCCATCATATCTACTCTGAGATTGTTGGGGTGGATGCGGCGGTAGAGGGGGCGGTTGCGAATATCTGTCATGCGGTGTTTGAGGCGTGGACCGCTGTTGTTCATGAGGCTTTGGTGGCTTTGGGGGAGGAGCAGGAGCTTGGTTCGATACGGCTGGTGAAGGCGAAGAAATGGGCGCCCCATGTGCTGCGCGTCGCCATTCAGCTGGAGGTGGAGGTACGGGTGGAGGAGCTTGCTGCGCGGGCACACTTTGCTGCGGCTGCTGCTGTCTCGATCGCACAGGCGGCTCTTTCGCGAAAACGCCGCGCAAGACTGCTAGGAAGTCGAAGAGAGTTGACTTCTACGCAAAAGTCAGCTACCATAGACGTTCTGAATGCGCGCCTAATTCATGGCCTACAGAGCGCATGAATACTCACATCCCAATACTGCGCCCATTGTGCCAGATACGGATGGTACACCTTCCCATCTGTGCTCACATGCTGTCCAGGCCGCAAGACCATGTCCTGAGAAGGCGTCACGTATACGATAGGCGGTTCTCGCGGGTAGGCATGAGGCACCCATATTGCTACCGGAAAACCATACGTCGCACCACGGAATGTGACTGGCAGCGTGCCTGTGAGGAGCAGTAAGAGCGCTGATACGCCATTCTCGTAAGCTGCTATCGTCAGCCTCTATGCAAGCTCTATTCGAAGATCGACTAACTGTAGGGCTCAGTTCGAACGCTGAGCGACGGGTAGTTGGCAAGAGCCTCGGCCGCGTCGTGATAAGTGCGATTTACGTCCAAGTATTCCTATTATCGTGTTAGCGCAAGTGGTGTGACGCGCCGGGCTTGACTTGCATTGACAAGGACGCTGTATAGCCAATTCAGCACTTTCTCGCTGGCCATTGCAAGGTTGGTGGGGACCTGGGGAGCTCCAAGACATCATCGGAGCATTGAGCATTGCCCCTCAACACCTTGGCAACCCGCCATCGCGTCCCAGACCAGCTAATCCTTCCGTCATCAGTCTTCGTGATAAGCAAGGGTTTCCAGCTGTCGCGTTTGCATCCTCCATAACTCTGTACTAGGCACAATACACGAAATTCAAATCCACGTCTTCAGCCATGTATGGGGGGGTAATGTCAAGTTGCTCGATACATTTCATTCGTAGAGCTATTGCATAACTATAGTACAATATATAATCGTCATGTGTCTCGTCACCGCTTCAGCGAGCGTAGCCATAACCAGCGCTAAAAGAATGTGCGCCTCCCTACTGTACAAGTCCCACCCGGGGTATTAAAATGAATGAATTACTTAATGCTGACTCCACTCAATCGTGTTGAGATCAACACCCTCCTGAACAAGCTCCCACAGCGGACTCAGCTCTCGTAAGAACGTCACCCGCTCCTTGACTGCGTTCAAGACGTAATCGATTTCTGAATCAGTCGTGAAGCGGCCGATGCCAAAGCGAATACTGCTGTGTGCGCTCTCATCGCTGCTGCCGAGAGCTCGAAGAACGTAGCTTGGCTCAAGCGACGCCGAAGTACAAGCACTTCCAGAAGAAAGAGCAATGTCTTTCAGCGCCATAAGAAGTGACTCTCCCTCGACATACGCAAACGATACGTTGACGCAACCGGGGTAATGTCGCTCGCGGTCACCATTCAGTGTGGTATGCTCGAGTGATAACAAGCCTTCGAGAAGACGATTTGATAACGCTGTGATGCGCTTGGTATCATACTAGACAGAGTCAGCCCAATGTCCCCGACTCTCATGTCTTTGAACAAATGAACAATATAAAGAACTCATAACCCCTGCACATTTGTCAACATGGCGAGTCGACGGCCGAAGCCGCCTAACACTCTGAAAGCCATGCATGTATAAAGCAAATAATCATCGTGGTTGTAAAACAGAGAACAAAAAGACTTGATACATACCTCCATCTCCTCTTTGCAGATCCGCGCAGCCTCGCCCATGCCGATAGCAAGCGGAGGTGCTAATGTGCCACTTCGCAGGCCGCGCTCCTGGCCACCGCCACTGATAATGGGCTCAAGTCTGACCCTCGGTCGTCGTCGTACGTAGCATGCGCCAATGCCTTTCGGTCCGTAGATCTTGTGTCCAGATATTGACATCAAGTCGACGTTCATCTTGTTGACATCAATGGGAATCTTTCCAACAGCTTGCGCTGCGTCAGTGTGGAAGAAGATCTTCTTTGATCGGCAGAGACGTCCAATCTCCTCGACAGGTTGTACCACACCAATCTCGTTGTTCACGGTCATGATACTGACAATAGCAGTGTCGGGACGCATGGCGGCTTCGAGCTGAGCCATATCAATGAGACCGTTGCTCCCTACTGGCAGGTAAGTGACCGAAAAACCTTCGTCTTGCAAATGTCTACAGCTGTCGAGCACACACTTGTGCTCCGTCTGCGCCGTGATGATGTGCTTCTTCTTGCCACTTCGCCCGAAAAATCGTGCTACGCCCTTGATACTCATATTATTACTTTCAGTTGCACCGCTGGTGAAGATGATCTCTTTTGGGTCTGCACCAATCAGATTGGCAATGTTTGCGCGAGCTTCTTCTACGGCCGTGTCGGTCTCCCACCCATAGGCGTGAGTTCGCGAATGAGGGTTGCCGTACATGCCGGTCATGAATGGCATCATCTTGTCTACAACTCGAGGGTCCATGGGCGTAGTAGCTTGCATGTCCAAGTAGATGGGCCGTGATCCCTGGTCCATTACCGTAGCCTGCTTGAGAATGCCTAATTTTGTCAGTCTCATGAGAGGCGGGGTCGAGGGGCAAATCATTCAATCTTACCGGCGCTAGGGCTCATCATGGCATCCGCGCCCATGCCTGTTGTTGGCATTGTCGCATCACTTGGCCGCTCACCCGTCTTGTCTAAATAGGCCCGCTGCTCCTGCTTGATCGCAGTGTCGACATTGACCGTCGCCTGTGAAGACTTGCTCTCGCTGACATAGTGACGACGCGCAGCCGCACCAGCGGTGCGTACAAAGGCTGGTGATGGATAGCGGCGAGAGGCAATGCGCAGGGCCTGCCTCGCGATGGTGGGTGCAATGTTGGGCATAATGGAGGTGCAGTGGTGGAGAGGTGGGAAAGGCAGGTCGCCTCTTAGCTAGCTTGAGCTTTTTCCAATGACTAAGCGGACGAACGGGCCGAGGCACTAGCCGGTCCGTGCGAGCCCACCGCACGCCGAACGCTGGAATTGTCGTCGCCCTGCAGCAGTTGGGCTTTGGGTGCGCGAAAAAAAACAACGGGCATGTCAGGGGTGACAATGGGTTCGCGGCTCGCATACGCTCCGATCAATAGTCCGCTTGCAGCGGGTACGGGCGTGGTCATCTGCCAACAGTGATATCCCTCGGTGCGTTCCGGGAGTTCCGAGCAGAGCAGGGCTGCGCGCTGCATAGCCACAAACGTCATTGGGACTTGAGCAGCCACGCAGGCGCTCGCGATCCTTGGTCGCTACCTGCTGCCTCTCCCGATCAATCCACCTCCATACCGTGACCAGAGTTTGCCTTTGCTGTGTTCTGCACATCTCTCTTGCACACCCATAATAAAATACTTCCACCATGAGTTGGAAAGGCCTGACCAAGAGCGTTACCCGAGTACGACAAAGTCCCCGCGCTGCTCGGGCATTATGGCTTGCTAACCCAATCGCATAGGCGCCACAAACCTTCAAGCAACGGTTCAATCTTGTACGTCCCCTCGTGTATCACTATGCTTCTAGCATGTTTGCGCTCCTTATTCTCTCGAGAATAAAATTCCACCTCTAACAGTACGTCTTCTAGGGCGAGATTACCAAAGACCCAATCTATACAGATGCCGAACGACGCTTCCAGGAGTTGGAGAAGGAGACAAAGAAGCTTCATGATGAATCAAAGAAGTATGCGCTCGCTTCAAAACTTTCCTCTCCTACTTTTTGCTTACATGTCTAGGTACTTTGAGGCCATAAATGGTACGTTCATACTTCACACGGCCCCGCCAACACCCGCCTAACCATTCCTCCCAGGCATGCTCACACACCAAATCGAGTTCTCGAAAGCCATTGCCGAGATCTATAAGCCAATCTCCGGTCGTATGTCCGATCCCGATTCGTTTCACGACGAAGGCAACGCAGCCGGCATAGAAGCTTGCGAGCAATACCAGGCTGTAGTGCAGGAATTGCAGGAGACCCTTAAGCCCGAGCTCGAAATGATAGAAACTCGAGTCATCCGACCTGCGGATGAGCTCCTAGTAATCGTAAAAGCCGTTCGCAAGATTGCCGCTAAGCGCGATCACAAGCAACTCGACTACGATAGGCACCGCGCCGCATACAAGAAGCTTGAAGAGAAGAAAGATAAGACGCTGAAAGATGAGAAGGCTATGTATAAGGCTGAGAATGATTTGGAGCAAGCCACACAAGACTTTAACTACTTCAATGATCTGCTCAAGGACGAGTTACCGAAGCTCTTCGCATTGGAAAGAGAGTTCATCAAGCCCCTGTTCCAGTCGTTCTACTACATGCAGCTAAACGTGTTCTACACATTACATGAGCGTATGCAACGGCTGGATATTGGTTACTTTGATCTCACTCTGGATATTGAGGCAGCCTACCTCAAGAAGCGCGGAGATACCCAGGAAGAGGCGGAAAAGATATCCATTGTCAAGTTCAAGACCACCGGTGGTGCTCGCGTAGCAGGGGCGAGGCCAGGCCAGTCCAAGTACGCAACAAAGGCACTGGAAGCTAAGGCTGGCCGAAGTTCGTTATCCGAAGAAACGGAAGCACCGCCACCACCATACAGCCCTGGACCTTCAGCAGCCGCTACCGGCGATATCAAGTCACCTGCACTGTCATCAGCCTCATGGGGTTCTGCTGCCAAAGCCAAGGGTGCGGCGCCGCCACCTCCAAAACCCAAGCCTTCTCGTCTCAGTGGGGCACCCGCTGCTGAGACTGTCACAGCCCTGTACGATTACGAAGCCCAAGCTGAAGGTGACCTGAGCTTCTTGACTGGTGACGTTATCGAGATTGTTTCTCGTACTCAAAACGAAAATGAATGGTGGATTGGCAAGGTGCGGGGGAAGCAAGGACAGTTTCCAGGTGAGTTCCAGACCAAAAGAGCCTTCAAAAGTCAAGTCTAATCGTGTTATAGGAAACTATGTCAAACTGAACCATTAGTCGAGGCTCAGTTCGCCTCCTCGTACCTTGCGATTGCGGGGCAACAGTTGTTGAGGCATATCTTCATGGCGCTTCAGGTTTCTTGTTCAATACCAATGTGTTAGATTTGAGCATTCTGCTGTACAACGCATCTCTCAATGATAGTCTTTTTCATCCTTTATTCGAGTGGAATTGAGTTTTTGATCGAAAAAGATCACCAGGTACCCCATGTCACGTGCTGGACAGCTTCCTCTTTGGCAGCATGACTGCGCCACAGTTCAGATCAGTCCTAGCGAAGCAGCAAGGGTCGTTGCGTGCCACCCCGCATGACGTCTGCCAGAGATCCTGGAGACCCGCAGCCCGTATCCGCATGCTCGGGTATGCACGCCTAGGGTGTTGTCCCACACCAATGCATGTTCTTCTGACATCTGTATTATAGAAACATTACTCTGCTCGTTCTTCCCTTTGCTTACAAATCCCCTTTTTGGGAAAGACTGATCGACAATGCCGTACGAATCAACCATAACATTCACTCTCGACACAATATGTCCCTGGTATTTCAAATATCCCTCCGCTGTGCATAGCCTATACTCGAACCTAATACAACAAACACAGGACATACATCGCCTTTGTCCGCCTCAACAAAGCCCTCGACGCCTATCGCTCAGCTAATCCAGACTCCCCCGCCAAATTTACCATCAAGCTCGCCCCATACCAACTCTACCCAGATTTCTACGAAGACGGCGTCGACAGATACGAGTGGCAAAAAGAAAAAAAGTACAATGGGAGCGACGAGAAAATGAAGGCGTACGCGCATTACATGGGCCTGACGGGGAAAGCAGAGGGTATAACGTTTGATTTCGAGGGCGGTCCCATTAGTAATACGCTGCATGCACACCGTATATTGTACTGGTTGCAGAACAACAAGGGACCTGATGCTGCAGTGAAAGCAGTGCGTAGTCTGTACAATCAGTATTTTGAACATAGGGCTGATCCCGCGGGTCGCGAGACGCTGGAGAAGGCGTGTGTGGCTGCTGGGCTGGGTGAGGATGAGGCGAAGAAGTTGGTGGGGGATCAGGAGGAAGGATTGCGTGAGGTTAAAGCGGCGATTATGGAACAGGCGGGGAATGGGGTGGATAGTGTGCCGTATGTTGTGTTTGAGGGGAGGAAGAGGGATTTTACACATGTTGGGGCGAGGAGTGTGGAGGAGTATGTTAAGGTGCTTGTGCAGGTTGAGAAAGAGTGTGCTTGAGTGGAGGTTGGGTTAAATCATAGCTTTCTGTGCAATTTTGTATCCAAAAGAACGATCGGGTTGGTCAGTCATCTCTATTGTTTATTGGTTGTCACGGTATATGCATTTAAATGTAGTAAAGCAGTATGGCTTAGATGATTATATCTATCTAATAATAGATACAAAGCATTAGGATTTGAAGAAATTAGATTACAGCAGCCATGAGGGAGTCCAGAGGAAGCTTCTTCGGCACCAAACCTCTATCGCCCACGATAGTAAACAAAGGAAAGATAAGGAAAGTAAGTTCTAAAGGAGTCTAGTCTAGTCGAGTTTTACCAATTGCATGTGTCGTTCTTGATCGCGTAAATAGTCGTAGATTATTTACCGGCAGTCAAGGTCAGCGGTGCGGCTGTCAAAGGTGCAGAACCTGTTGTCAGAGACAACAGCAAGCTATCGCAGTTGGTCAGTCAAAGTTCATCTTTTTAGGAAAAAAAAAGGGTGTGGGAATGGGAATGAAAACTCACGTTAATGTATCCACCATCACCACGAGTCCAGAGCGAGTTCTGACGACCAATGTAGAAGCAGTCGTAGTCAGTGTTGAGCGCGCCCATGGAGAGCTTGACACTGGCGACATCGGAGATTCTGTCGCGGTTGGCAACGTCCCACTTCATGTTGTAGCAGGCAGCGGCGACCCAGCGGTTTCGGTCGGGGTTCCTGGCCCACATGGCGTCGACGGTGGCCTGGGTGAAGGTCTCACGGGCGGAGTTCCAGTTGTTGATGGGGAACAGCTTGTCGAGGAGGCCGCTCATGGCTCCGGCGATGGAAGCTCCGGCTCCAATGCCCTCAGCAGCGCCGTTAAGACGGGCTCCGGCGCGGCGCTTGGTAAGATGGGCATCGGCGTCGACTTTGGTGTCGATATCAGCCTTGACATCAGCGTCGATATCGGTGTTGATACCGATGTTCAGGGGAGAATCCTTGAGCACATCAAGTGCCGCTCCAGGCTGGACTGCTTGTTAGAAACTCAAGTCCTTCTTGTATGATGGAGGGGAACTTACGATAACGGCAGGGTTGGAATGCTGAGGAGGAACAGCCGCAGCGTTAGTAAGAGCGACAGTGCCAGCAAGGAAGACGATAGAGAAACGCATCTTGAATTGAGGAGTTGGATTAAAAAGTAAAGTCTTTAAAAGAAAGAGTGAGAGTGGATAGTTGGGAAAAGAGAGCGTGAGTTGCTGTGTTAGCGAGTGATGGTTGTGAGTGTGAGTGATGATTCTGTTTGAGCGGTCGTCCGAACTCCTTATATACAACAATTGAGCAGACCAATTGAGGCTCTTCCTCTCTCGATCGTGAGTCTCTATTGCTTGGATCTGAGGCATCCAATTCACCCACGTGGACGCTAATGCTGCGAGTCGTTGGCCTAAGCGCTCAGTCCCTTGGCCGTGGTGTTGTCTGTGCCAACAGTAAGATTGGCCTGAATTAACGTGTATAGCAAAGACACGTTGTATTCAAACTTTGTGCTCACCGATTCATGTGCTTAGCCCTATCTTTTTTCTAGGATCACCGGCTAGAACATCACTCCTGCGCCTTCTAGAAGATCGACTAGCATTAGATGAGCAGGCGGTAGGATTGCCCTATGCATTGTAGCTTCACGTATGCCAAACTCAACGTCTGGATGTCTTCTGCTTCATTTTGCTAGTGTTTGAGCTTTGACAGACTCGCGAATGTGGATGCATAGCAGTCCGAATTTTGTTCAGAAGTGACAGGTGTAATATCAGCGATGAATTCTCGTAGCTCCTTCCCCTTATGTCACTGCTTGGTTGTATAGTGGGATTCTCAGGAATCAACAATGTCTTGCTGGATATCAAAAGTGGTGTAGACCTAGACAGTTACTCTAAGGGCTTGTTCAGCTACATCCTTCTCTGATCAGTTCACCACTCCATGGCAAAATCCTCCGCAGCAGCTTCAATCCTACCTTTCCCTTCGCTCCTTTCCTGTCGCCATCCAGGGAGTCCCTGAAACGTCTATTTTCTACAAATTGGCCTTGGTGTTTTCATGGCATTATGTCTTTGCGAGCCTACTAATCAGGATTCCCTGTCTAGACAGCAAGCCATGAGCCACCATGATACCTTACGAAGACACTCACCGTAATTTCATGCATGCACTGTCCTCGAATGCGCGATAGCATCATGCAAGGAGTAAATGTAGTAGGGCTGCGTTACTTCCTGTCTTCTGCTGTAGGCGTGCATAGAGTTGGACAAATCATCACCTATTAAACTTTATTTGGCACCAGTAAAACGGCGGAGAACAACGATAGGGACCGTGCAGGATGAATGTCGTCATAGGCTGGTTAGATAGCGGAGATGCTTGGCACATGCCAGTCAATCCATACCCTGATTGACCATGAGCGGGTGAATTAACTACCCAAAATAGATACTATTTGGCTGAATTAACTCTGTTGGGGCTGTGACTAGTGAACCAGCCAAGCCTTTCAGGGCTTGTTACTATCCCGGGTGGTGCCAACGTTAGCGAAGGGCTGGCCCGTATAAAGTTTGGATTTTAGCGTTGTCCCCTGCCTTACGCGTGAAACCATGGGTTCTATGTGTGCACTATCCCCCGGTAACACAGCCCTAGCCAATCAGCTTATGTGAACTTGCAGCAATTACTCGGACATTAAAAACCTTATTATCACCACCACGTTGTTGCGATCGAGCTATCCAACGGTGTGGCCTTTACGGTCAAACTCAATCATGCAGATCTCGAGAACTCGAGTGCAACAATAGGGTTAGCACTGTGGCTAAAGTCTTCTAGAAATGCAATAGTGTCTTCTAGGCAGCTTCTAGAGCGCTTCGAAAGGCGAAACTAGAGTGTGATTACACGTAATTTCAAGCCTCACACAAAACGGTGCTGTAGCTGGAGAGTGAAGACTTGGTACGGTAATCGATCGCGTTTGTGATGTATCCTGAGTTGGCTTTTTGATACCTGCTTTCGAGTGTCTTTGGCATGCTGACAACTCACTGGATGGTCTGTGTATCAGAGTGTAGTAGATTGGAGATCATAATATGTATGCATGTGATGAAAGTACTAGAAACAAGCTTTGTTGTTATCCTTTACAGCCACAACTGCCTAAATCCCAAGATTGAATGGCGAAAAAACAACCTCCGATTCTGCAGCTTGATGTCGTATCCAATGCAACATGCGGTCAATCCAACCCCACGTTCCATGGAAATTCCCAACTCCTTCGACGTGACTAATTCGCTCGGTTTCTTGGCAACCTTCCAGCCCTTGTCACATGTACTCCCACAAAGCTAAGCAAGAGCTCGTTGTTTTCATGTGATCGCCCAACGTGCAGCTACGGCCCAAGCCCCTGCATATGGCCATCCAGCCCTGTCCCCTTGACGAAATGCTCGCCTTACGCACTGGCATCGGGTCAGAATCTAAACTTAAATTCTGAAGAAATTATGGCGCTTAGGGTCGATACAGGAGGTGTGGAATTCGTATGCGGAGATTGTTCGGGGAAGATGGAGATCGGGAGGCTTGCTTGCAAACACTAGTCTTATGTGTGTGGCTTGCATGTAATGTAAGAGAAACTTGTAAGGCATGGAGTGATCTGAATATAAGTAGAAGAAGAGAGCTCGATGTGAGGAAAGGCAGGAGTAGCGATGGATATAGGGGGATATGTTAAGAGGAGGATATTGGAATGAGGAGTGCTGCTTCGTTTGTGGTAAGAATAATCCAAACGTCCGTCGAAGATCTATACTGAAAGATAACCTAGGTATATCCCGGAAGAACTTTTGTATATGGCTTGTTTCAATCTGTAGAATAGGGTCAATTAGTATTGCAGTTCGTTTACAGATATAGGAGGCATTGGGGAAACCATGAGTCTACCTATTCTAAACGACTAGAAATCAGAGCATGGTAAGTGCCGTAGTTGAAATGATTTGGGAATAGTAGAATAGTATTGAAGCATCTGGGTAACGTATATATACCTCATACAATCTAATGTAGTGTAGTAACTGCGATAGTATAGTGAAACATCATGCATCCATATACTACAGAATGCTATTTGTATCCAGACTCAAAGAGTCAGTATTTGCAGACTGTGGTCTATATGCTTCATGTAATCTGATGTAGTAAAATGTTTTCAATGGCTTAACACAACGTCACATATCCAACTTCCACAGAGTGTTATTTGTAACTAGATGAATGAATTAATGTGATCAAACTGTGCGGTCCAATATATAAGTAATACATGAACATACACATAGGAACGCTGTGGTATCGATAGGAGAAAATTTCACAGCTTTTTGCAGTCAAGTATTGAACATCGCTACATGTAATTCTCTTTTCGAAATGTCAGAAACTGTATAGTGGTCAATAACAAGATAGAATTCACAGAAAAATCTTCTTATGGGCTAGAAGAACGTTTATTTTCCGATATCCTATCACAAGAAGAACTAGAGACGCTTTTCCTTGATATGATATATTACAATAACCACATCAACAGCCAAAAAGGGGGGTACTGCAAATTCTACCTGGTACAATTCGTCACAGTCACGTCCAAGTACCCAGGCTGCTCAAAAGAATTGAAAAGCGTGCAAACAAATTTGAGACACCGTCTTCCCCCCCTTATTTCATCAGATAATGCCAATCTGAGCTGATAGCTATTACCTAGAGAGACTGAGTAAAGAACGGAGCAAACCTCGATATATTCTGTTTATCACATAAGACTAGATACTCAGACAGCAAAACTCCGCTCACAGCAGCATACCTTACTATAGTATAATCTGTTTCATCTTCATGGGCTATGTACTTGTTGGAAAAAATTACCACAATACTAACATCATGCATATCACGATACTGAAACCGCAAAACAACGCTTTCCCAACCGCAAACCCTTAATCGCTAAAAGTACAGAATTACTCTTCATTCAATCCTCTAATGTAACAAGCGCGTTGATATATACACACCCCAAACGGTAATGCTCTAGTTATCTTATATTGCAATAGTCTAGTAGCGAACTCGAAGCGCAATGTCAGAGTCATGAATGGTGCTGGTACTGCTGGTTTTTGATGTATCGACAGGACAGGGGATTTGGATCGTGAGTGTCCGATATGATTGGGTATGGTAATGTACAGCAGGCCGGGGGATTGTAGTGGATACAGGAGAGGGACGGGAAGGTGTAGATAGGCTAAATCGTGGTTTGGTAGTGTCGACTTCAAGTATAGCACCCTAAAATAGAGTATGCTTTGTTCGTTCATTCGTTCTGAAAGTCTCTGCAGTAGTTTGAGTGTCAACAATATGCACCTGAGCTTTACAAATCCAAATTACATGATGCAAAATCGAGAGTTCAAGTGAAAAATTATTCTTAATGCTATTGTTTACTTCATGTTATTATTTATGATCTAACATGTGCTTGAATTTTTCAATCTGGCGTTGTGTTAGTAACTCCGTTTCGATACGAGAAAAAAAAGTTCAACAAATCCACTCACCTTTGTACTCAGATATTTCTCTACTTCCTCGCTCTTGATTCCTTTCATGCCGCCAGTCTTCCACGCCAGGGGCACCATGGCCACGCGCTCGCGGACGACGACTTCTCTGTTCGGGCCCTCAACTGCTCGGACTTTGTCGGGGTTGTTGGTCAAGAGTCTTATTCCCCTATCACCGTCCAGACCCAAATCCATAAGCATGGCTGTGGCTAGACCGTAACTGCGCGCGTCTGCGGGATGCCTTAACATTATGTTGGCTTCGTATGTGTCGTTTCCTAAATCTTGCAGGTTGTATGCTTTGAGCTTCTCGCCCAGACCGATGCCACGGCCTTCCTGCCGGAGATAGATGATGGCGCCGCCCGAAGGAGATAGCGCGGGGTCGGCCATGAGGCGCGCAGCCTCGTCAAGTTGCTCGCCGCAATCGCAGCGTGCAGACCAGACAGTCTCGCCCGTATAGCATTCGGAGTGTATGCGCACGAGAGGGAGTTGTGACGAGGAAACGAGCGGAGCGTCTCCGTTTTCTGACGATGAAGCGGAAGCCGGAGACAAGGGTCCATTGGTCTTGTCGCTATGGGCTAGTTTACTGTCAGGCATGGGTTTTGGCGGAATGCCTTCCGCACGCTTGAGCTGCTCGACCCGCGAGCTGGTTCTGCCTGGGTACAGACGGCCTACATATGCGCCTCTAGTCATGCGATCCAGCTCCGTCTCTCCCGGGCGTTCGGCGTCGAGGGAGCGAGAGCGTATTTGGCTGCCAAAGACGATTGCTAGATGCTCCTTTGTGTCGACATTGTTTCTGTAAACATGTAGCCACATTTCATGTCCCGTGGTCGTAGGTATGCGCGCGCGCACCTCGCACTCGACCTTAGGGAGCTGCGACAACAGATCTGGGCGGGGGGTGTCGGTGCGGAGCGAGGTATCGACTGGTATAGAGCGGGGTGGCCGGGGATGCGAAGGAGTCGAAACTCCCGGTGTGGCTGGAGGGGTGAAGGCGGGAGAGATGATTGAGGGTGGGGGATCGTGTCGCTCTTGGTTTGCGCCATGGTCCAGTGTATGCTCATGCGTCGGCGACGTGTGGAAGTCAAAGTCATCGTTTGCAGCGGTGCCAATCTGCGGCGAGAAATGGGGCGGAAATGCGCTCATGGTGGATGGCAGGACGGAAATGATTTAAAAAACGGGGATTGCGGTCACGGAAAACAGAAGCGCATTACCGAGTGAATTGGGTAGAGACAGAGACAGAGTCAGAGACAGAAACAGAAACCGGAGCAAGAGGTGCAGTGGGGGTGAGCGACTGAATGACATAGCCGAACCCGCAGTTGCTCGGGAGTCGTGATTTTGGGATCCGCCTCCGACATTCCACTAACCGCGGCTATGTAAGCAAATTCAAGTGGCGCCCAAATGTTCCGGTCAGCAATTGGGAATTCCGCCCTCGCTCACCTGTTCTGCCCCACACCGACCCTCGGAGCCGGACTCGTGCGGGCGAATGGCTGCTGGGAGCATTCCGCCCTTTGTTAGGGGGCGCCAGTGCAGAGTAGATTAGTAGAGTATTGCACATACGCCCGAATGGGCATTGCCCCGATTCTTCAACTTGGACTTATGCCAATTGTATGCTTTACATACATGTGCTATATAGTACTACTGCATGCATCAACCAATCTACCATGTCACCTGACAATATCTGATTCATCCCAGAAAAAACATAGCTCACAGATCACTAGTTTACTTCCCCATGCCGCGCCATGCCTTTAGTCCACTCTGCGCTCTCTGCCCCACACCTCATCCGCATTCTTCTTGCCTTTGGTCTCTGGAACATACCATGAGACAAAGGCAAAGAAGAAAGCTGAAAGCGCTGCGAATATGAAGTAGACTTTGCCGTGCAGCTTTGCGCTTGCTAGTGGAAAGAATTGGGCTACGACAAATGTGGCGATCCAGTTAGCTCCGAGCGCGATGCTCTGTGTCGCATCAACCGCATCCGGGCCCACAAGCTCACTCGCCAATATGAATGGCACAGGGCCAAGACCAACAGCAAAGCCGGATACGAAGAGCAGGACCGCAATGGCTGAGAGTACGGGAATCGCCTTGATGATACCAATAGCAAGCAAAAGCGAGCTGCTTCCCATAATCGCCAGAGAGCTCAACAGGCACACCTTGCGACCCAGCTTGTCGGCAAGGGGCGCGCAGCTAGCTGTCACGATAATGTTCAACGCCGAAACGGCAAGGTTGAGCAGGGCCGAGTTGGATTCGAGCAGACCAGCTAGCAGCGAGACTCCGTACATGACGATGCTGTTGATACCGCTGAATTGCTGGGCCAGCATCACCATGATGACGGCGATTGCAGCCTTTTTATAGTCGGAATGGCGAAAGACCTGCATGATGCTCAGATTTCCTTCTTTGCCAGACTGCTTCGGCCCAGCCTCGGTTGACGCGTTAGGGCTTAGTAGTGTCTGCTCCTCCTCTGTGCTTATGTTAGTTTACCATGGCCACATAGCCCGCATATCGAGTGACTGACCATTGACATGGGACGAATCTGACATTCCCCAGTCATGCATCTCATCCTCAATGTCTGCATGTTCGCCACGAATCTTGCGTAGAGTCTTCTTTGCAAGAGACACGTTGCCTTGCTCAGCAATGTACTTGGGGCTCTCGACGGACAAGAGCAATCCCGCGCCTTGCACAGCGCCGATAACGCCTCCAATGGCCAGAATAAGCCTCCAGTATGAGTCGTGGCTCAAGAAGTAGCCCAACAGCTGCGTGATGAGAATGCCAACATTGCAGCCAATCTGTGTGAAGGCACCAAAGAAGCCCTTCTCAGCAGGAGGAGCGATCTCTGAGATGTAGAGGGGCACAATCACGACGGATGCTCCCGCCGCGACTCCTGACAACAGCCTTCCGAAAGCCATGACGGCAATATTTGGGCTCAGGGCCTCGAAGACGGGGCCAACCACGAAGAAGATGGTCGATATCTGCATAGCTCTCAGGCGGCCGAGCCTTGTCGCGAGCGGACCGGCCGAAAGGGCGCCTATGAGGCCTCCGAGCGTGTATAGTGAACCCACGACGCCCCATTCTGTTGGTGTCATCTCAATGCATTGCGGGAGGCTCGGGCCTGCGACGGCAGCTGTAATGGACTTTTTCTTGCAACGGATGACATCTTCGGGCGCGTTGAGCTCAGACTAAGAGAGAGAGGGTTAGCTATGCAGCTCGTGGAGGACGGGATGTGAGGTTGGTATATGGGGGACGGACCAAGTGGAAGCCGAAGAGCAGGGGGCCGAGAGTCGCGACGGAGAGGATGTAGACAAAGTAGCCGGTCAAGTTGCTGAACCACGAACGGGGATCCATTGCAGGCTCTGCTGATGGAGGAGAGTCGGGTGGTGGTTGCAGCTCCAAGCTGTGTCTGGCACCCGGGGACGTGCCCGTAGCAGCGGGCGAAGCTTATGTATTAGAATACATTGAATACACGGTCACATGGTTACCTGGCTACCTGGCTACCTGGTCATGGTGACGATAGCTTGCAGAGAACGGTAATTGTCACTGCTTGGATATGCGAGCGATACGCGACGTGCTTTATGGGACGCCTATTGGTCCCAAGGACTTGTATTCCATCGCAAAGGGTGGCGTGGCCGTGGTTGCGGCATTAGGTGGGTGTATGTACTCTACCCCGGCTGAGGCTCTGCGGGGGAAACAGGCCATGGCAAGTGGGACGCGTGCCCTGCCTTTTCGCCGTCGCCGTCTCTTATCCCTTGCACCATCCTGCCAGCAACCCACCTCGCTGCGTCAGGGCCCCATCCATCCTCCTTGTCCAAACCATATCGCCCGCTTGTATTGCTTGCCCCGTGTCTGTCCGCCATCTCCATCAGTATTCATTCCAAGTCACATGATTACGCGCTGAGCCTGTCTGCCCCGATACCAACAGAGGCCCGTGAGATTGTCCGGATGCCATGTTCACCGGCTACAACAACAAGAAGCGCGTGACCGAGCGCTATAAAATCGTCGGCTTCATCAGCAGTGGTACCTATGGGCGTGTCTACAAGGCTGAGGGCCGCAACGGTCGCACCGGCGAGTTCGCCATCAAGAAGTGAGTGAGCACAGCCGAGTGCTGTCATGTCCCCACGCTAACACCATCAGGTTCAAGCCTGACAAGGAAGGTGAGCTGCAATACTCGGGCATCTCGCAATCAGCCATACGCGAAATGGCCTTGTGCACTGAGCTGGCCCATCCAAACGTGGTCCACACGGCAGAGATTATCCTAGAAGACAAGTGCATTTACATTGTCTTCGAGTATGCCGAGCATGATCTTTTGCAAATTATCCATCACCACAACCAACCTCAGCGCCAAGCCATCCCTGCTCGCACCATCAAATCCATTCTGTACCAACTGCTGCAAGGCCTTGTCTACCTGCACAGGAACTGGGTGATGCACCGAGATCTCAAGCCAGCAAACATCATGGTCACTAGTGCGGGCAAGATCAAGATTGGTGATCTGGGTCTCGCCCGCTTGTTCTACAAACCACTGCAGTCGTTATTCTCCGGCGATAAGGTCGTCGTGACGATATGGTATCGCGCGCCTGAGCTGCTGCTTGGTAGTCGCCACTATACACCTGCAGTCGATTTGTGGGCGATTGGGTGCATCTTTGCCGAATTGCTCTCCCTGCGGCCCATCTTTAAAGGAGAGGAGGCCAAGATGGACAGCAAAAAGACCGTCCCATTCCAACGCAATCAGATGCAAAAGATTGTCGAGATCATGGGCATGCCGACTAAGGACCGCTGGCCACTTCTGACGTCTATGCCCGAGCATCCTCAGCTTGCGTCTCTCCTATCGGGCAATGCCTCACGCTTTCCGCGTCCCCAGAGCGGAGATGGATTGGAGCGGTGGTACCACCAGACACTCAACAACAATCAATATCCAATCGGCTCCGGGCCAGACACGCCTGGACCAGAGGGACTCTCTCTCCTCAAGCAACTTCTCGAGTACGACCCTCAGAAACGACTCACTGCAGAAAAAGCGCTGTTACATCCATACTTCACCATGCACGGCAAGCCCGCAGAAAGCTGCTTTGAAGACTCCAAGGTCAAGTATCCAGTCAGGAGGGTCAGCCAAGAAGACAATGACATGCGTACATCTAGTCTGCCAGGCACTAAGAGAAGTGGGCTCCCGGATGACTCCATCATGGGCCGTCCTGCGAAGCGACTTAAGGAGGGCTGAGATGGTTTTGATACCAGAAGATTGTACGGCCCGTGTGATGTGCAGGGGTCATGAATACAGCCACCCACTTGTACGTATGTTTGCATTATAGGGTAAGTTCATCCCCGGTTGTCGGCATGGTAAGACGTCAGCTTGCCGGTGGACGGCAGTCTGCGGGGGCGTAGGCGTAGGCGTAGGCGACTTTGTGTCTCCCGTAATGCCTACACAGGCTCGTTTAGCCAAAGCTGGGAGTGACCTTGATCCTTGACCCGAGGCTCCACGAGCATAGCGGGACTCTGACGCTATACTAGGTTGATGCAAGTCGATGAGGGGCTGGGTGTGTGTAGATAGAGTGAGCTCAGTCTAGTAGAAGTAGTGTGTTCTGAAACCGGGTAGACGCATAGAAAGCTTACAGCGCGTGGACATGGCCAAGGAAGGGTTCACAGCAAGAGCTGTCTCATGACTAGGGATTGTATTCACTTTTGCGCAAAACCATCTGTCAAAAGCAAGCCACGGGTTACAAATGTGACGTTCCTCGACGGTTAAGGACGTCTTGAGTCATACTCAAGACGGCAATGTTCACAAGAGATGGCGCGGGTCACGATTGAGTTTGGTGATGGATGTGGAGCGTTGTTGCATGGGTCGATAGCACTGCGCGGTCATTCTTACACATTGTGAGTTTGGTAGCATGGGCAGAGGGGATAAAATAGGATTGTTTACACCAGGCCAGCCGATTGAGACCCCGCCGTGTTCAACCATGGCAAACGCCACTCTACGTCCTGGTGTGTCGGCGATGCTCCAAATGTGTAGTTAATGCGTAGGCCTAGCTCTTCAGGGCCTTGCAGCTTGTACCAGTGGTTCCACAGGGTGAGTGTGGAGGGGCAGCAGCGTGTGGATGGACAGTGGGCAGGCATGAAGCTCGTGGTCAGCAAGGGAACTGTCCAACCGTTGGTCTCCCCAGTCTGGCCTCGCACTAGGATGCTCTTGCAAACGGGCTCCTCCCTCGGCTCGTCATTCACTCTGGTAGCATTCATTTCCTGCAAACTCCCTCGTGAGCAGTCTCCCTGCTTGATTGGTCGGCGTCCATTGCTGTTTGTTTGTGGCCCCTCTGGTAAAGGCAGGCGCACACCACCACCAACGCGGCATCCTTGACAGCCCTGACCTACATATATACTCGGCCGACCTCGTCTCTCCCCTGTCCCTCTGTCTCCATCACTCATTTTTCCGCTCCCTGCGCCCCCTGTCACTCCTTTGCATTGAGGCTGCACTGTGGTGCTGATCCGCTACTCCTAACGGCCGGCCAATTCACAACATCTATACTCATTGACTCCCTATAATCTCGACACACAAGTCTCGCATCTAACCAGGATCTCACCATGAAGCTACTTGGTGCACTGGTTGCTCTCACTGCAGCCATTGCAGTCGCTGCTCCAGCCCACCAAGTCACTCTCCGTAATGTCGCAGCAGGTGACGCTCCTCGTCAGGACGACCCCAAATTCATCAGTGCCGTGATGCGAGCTCACTGGTACTGGCGGAGGCTGCACTGCGCTCAGGACCTGGTTTGGGACAAGGAGCTTGCAGACGCAGCCCGCGCCGACATCGAGGAGTGCACCCACGACCCTGAGCATGTTGGTATTTGACATGCACAAGAAGGGAGCAATGGCTGACGATGATAGAAACGCCCCGGCAGCAACCTCTCCTCTGTGAGCCCGCCGCCTGATGACTATGAGGCCTGGATTGAGTTTGCGCGTACTGCTACGCACGGCTGGCACGAGGAGGAAACCAAGTACCCCTACGATAATCCGCACTTCGATGCCGCCTGGGGCCACTTCACGCAGATGGTGTGGCGCAACAGCACGCGTATCGGTTGTGCGGTTGGCCGATGCTACAGGACTGTCAACTGGCCGGGCCGCTTCTACTGCTGTAGGTGGATTAAAACGAGATGCGGCTATGCAGTTGCTGACTGATGCAGACTACTCATTCTTTGGCAACAACATTGCAGCTGGCCAGTTTGAGGCTCAGGTCTGGGCACCGGTCTGCCATGACCCGGCGGCTGGCGAAGTGGTTGCGCGCCAGGATGTCAACTTTGACTGGGCTGGCGCCTAGAAGATGCAAGCTTGAGGTGGTACTGGGTTCAACATCATGAGCCGTGTAACGATGGTGGCTAACACGAGTGATTTCTCTTGATGATGTGTGGTCCTGGGCAGTGTCTACAGGGGCGTCTGTTACTCGGGTTTTTGTTTGGGTAGGACGTGGTTGCCGGGTCATTCCGATGTCGTTCTGGTCCGTCACAGTCTGGTTTCAAGGTGACTTTGGCAAGCCATGTAAGCAGTTGACGATAAGGACCATGCTGGCCGGGGTGCAGGAAGGCGTCAGTGGGCACTTGAGTGTGAGCAAGGTATCCATGATAGCCTATGAATTTTCCGTGATGAATGGTACCCTCTCTGAATGATGCATGTGTTTTTTGATTGGTTCGCTCTGTGGAAGCACTTGGCAGTGGACATGATTCAAGGCCAGCGGGGAGGATTGCAGAGGTTCAACAGCACAATGATTGGGGGCCGAGTGGCATATGGGGAGGGTAAAGGTAAGGGCACAATGACGATGATTTCACAGCCCGGCCATGTGATGTCGTTGGATGCATACGCAGGTACAGTCAACGGTGGTACTGGTACCGTCATGCTGTCAGGCACGCGGAAGATATTTGCATCCTTCTCTCAGCTGGAGTGCATATCTAAGTACGTACATGGCGCAGGGGCCTTCGCGATGGGGATGTGGGACGGCCAGTCCCGTGGATCGCGATGGCAATCGGTCCTACGCGCCCATGCGAACGCAGCCCTCCCCAGGATCCCCCATTTCACACATAAACCATGACACGGACCCTGAAAATCTCCTCTGCTGCCTGTCCGCTGTTTTTCCTCATCCTACATCAGGGCCCTAATCTGGCACATTTGCCTGCAGTCTCGCACATGTCCGTCATCCACCCACGCCCCCCACGACCGATGATGCAAACCCAACCGCCATCGACCCAGCATCGGCTGATCCCTGCACAACGGCCATGCGCCAGCCCGCAATTGTATCATGGCAACGCCACTACGAGCCTCGATTCCAGGCCTTTGCCCGCAGACCTTGGAACTTATCCACCCCCACATATTGAGGCGACTTTGTTCTGCCCACCCGCTCACCACACAGCGCGCGCGTGAATCTACACCTAGCGCACATGTAGCCCTCCTTTTAGCTCCGCGTGCTTTTTACACGAGCCCCCGATGCCCTGCCTGCTGCTCTTGCCTTGTGCCTCGTGCCTGTCGCGCGTGCAGCTCATATTCATCGGCCTTAACACTCCGCCTTCGTCCCGGTTCCAGCCCTTTCGACCGCTGCACTAGAAACTCCCGTCGACCTACCACCTACAGTACTCTCCTCCTCCTCCTCCTCCTCCTCCTCACACACCCGCCAATAGACACTCTGAACCACGGCCTTTGATTTGTCTACAGCTTACTGCGCAAACATGTTGGAGAAGCAAGAATATGCGCTGCAGGACGACGAGGCGAGGCATGACGCACCCAGACTGCCGCTCTCGTTGTCTGGTGAAATCAATGCTGCGACCCGGTATGATTTCCCATCCCGCCGCTTCTTTCCTTGTGTGTTTATGAACCAACACGCTGATCCACCTCGTATAGATCCCTCCACACAAACCTAAACCGCCTCATTACCTCCCGTCTCCCGCTTGGCCTCCCGCCGCACACCACAGACTCGACGCTTTATGCGACAGGCCTGCTACATTTTGCGCACATCTTCCTGACCTTTGAATCCTTGTGGGCCGACTTGTTGCGCGATTATGCCCCCTCCAACTCACCTTATATGCCTGCGCAGCCGGCAATGGACCCCGAAGGTGCTACCTCGCCCTTTTCGCCATTGCTATCCTATCTCCTTGTGAATCCCTACGACTCGCCCTCACTCTTCACATCCACCCTCGGCGCCCCAACGCCCCCATCTCCACAACTCACAACTTTCCTGCAATCTCTACGGCCGAGAGGCCTGATACGCTCGGGCCGATTAAAGAGGGACTTGGAATACCTGCTAGGCCTACACCCTACCGATCTCGAGGTCCTATTGGCAAAGTACCCGGGCAATAAGGTTGCGCAATTTTGCACGCACATTCGGAAGAGTGTAAACGAGAAGCCATGGACGCTAGTTAGCTACGCTTGGTGTTTCTACATGGCCATCTTCTCGGGCGGGAGGTGGATAAGAGGAGGCTTACTCCGTGCCCCACCAAGTTTCTGGCCATCACCAGCCACTACCACTGGTTTACAAGAAGAAGCGGATAACAAATCTCCGGATCTGAAAAATCAAGGCCTCTCATTCTGGCATTTCCCCGGTCCCCATGATGGCGAGGATATCAAGGCTGAATTCAAGTTGCGGCTGGCTGCTGCCGAGACGCTCTTCACCCCCGACGAACGCGTCGATATCATCGAAGAAGCCAAGCAGATTTTCAAACAATGTGCTGAGCTCGTGGACGAGCTGGATGATATGATTGGAACTGATTTTCATTTTTCACCAAGCAACTCCAACGATGCTGTTCCCAACGATAACAGCCAGCATCAAACGGAAAAGCAACAAGTACAGGTGGATACCTGCCCCCTACTTGAAAAATCTGGTCTCATCGATCCAAACGTAATGCGTAGGGCGCAGCGCCATTCTACCCTAACTAAACCAGGATCGGGACTCCGATCTTGGATCAAGAAGCCCGAAGTCTCGGGTACGGTGCTGGCGGTCGGGTGTTTGGCTTGTGTTGTTTTGTTCAAACTGCAGTAGATTCACTGTACTCAGTACTATATTCCTTTTTTTCTCTGTGTGTTTGTTTGAAGGTGCATAGTTTGCGACTGGGTTGGATACTCTGGCATTTTATGTAAATGGGGTTTGGCGTCTGGGTTTTAATGGGTCGGGAACCACTAGGTTTTTCTTGTATGAATGGGTGATGGGATTGGCGGCACATATACATCGGTTCCTTTTTTTCTTTTCTTTTCTGTTATCATGTTTTTTCGAAAGTAGCATTTTTTTTTTTGCATAGTTGGCGGGGGATTTGCACTGTCGAATAAGGGATATAACCCCCCTTTCCATCCTCCTTTTTCAAAGTAAGACTTTGTGCTGCATCTTTCTTCGCATGGCATGCCCACGATATAATGTCAGCGCTGTTGCATTAATACACGCGTACTTCTTGGTGTTCAATCTCACACTTGAGTAGTCATGTACGTAAGGAGCGACGATAGTTGATTATTCTATACAAGGAGATTCAGAAAAACGAAGATACAAAAATTTAGACGCAAAAACATGACCTCTTTGCCAGAATGAAAGAATGAGAAGACTTGATGTGCTTGTTACTTTTTTTAGGTTTTTGTTCCGTTCTTTTCGTTTTTTTTTGGTTGTTTTCGGTGTTGAGGTGTTGTAAGAAATTGAGAAAGGAAACTCCGGCGCCGTTGTATTTGTTCTTGTGGGGGTTGCTCGTACGACGATGATTTGCGTCATCTCTTCCTTCTCTCACTCAGTTTTTTTGGACTCCGTAGCGTGATAGCGGCATGGAGAGTGCATAAGAGTTGGAGGAGATGTCGCCGTGTCTTGAGCGATGGCTTGATCGTTGTCATGATGTTGTGGGGCTTCTGGGAGCGGCCTAAATTTTATCGCCTTCCAAAGAACCGTCTGTGCCGTGGACCTTGCGAAGATGGTTGCGAAGATCGGCCTTACGGAAGTAGCCCTTGCTATCCACGCGGTCGCAGCCAGGTTGTGGGCACGGGAAGTCGGACTCGTCGTGGACATTACGCATGTGTTTGATGTATTCTGCCAAGGCAGAGAATGCACCCCAGTTTCCAAACCCGTAAGGAGACTCCTTGTGATGGATACATTCTATTTTTGGGCACCAATAAGATCCGTACGTTCCGTATTTATCCCCGTCATTCTCGCCAATATGGTGATAACTCCGGACATGTTGTGTGAGATGATCTCTACGCTTGAAACCATTGGATCCCCTATACTTCTTGCAGTACTTGCAGGGGAAGCGTTTGGCATCATCTTGATGTTTTCTCTCGTGTCGTCGGTATGTATCCAATCGAGAGAACTTCTTGTCGCAGTTGTCATGCTTACAGGCATAGGATAAATGACCCGTTTGACGGCAATGTGCCTCCAATTGAGAAGCGGCTCTATACCCCACTAGGCATTGATCGCATTTATACTTGGCTGCATACGATTCCTGTGAGTGGACTTCAGATTGCTTTGATGATCCAGTCCAAGGTCCTTGAGTGTTCATCCCGGAATTGTGCGCTGAAGAGCTTTCATGCGGAGTAAAGGTAGAGGAGTTCGCTTGGGATTCGTCAATGATACCGCTGGTATAATAGGCATCAGCTCTATCGGAGTCACCGAATATGCTACTGGAAAGTAAGTATAAACGTAAACAAGATAGAAGCACAGAAACACGTACTTTCCCACCAGATTTACATCAGCCACAACGTTTGACTGCTGGAGCACGTTGTTTCCAAAAAGATCATTATTCTCCAAAAAGGAAGAACTTGCATCGGGTATCCCATGGAGTTGTATACCAGAGTTGATGGTTGGAGTCCCCAATATGAAGTGGTCGTCCGGGAGCATGTCATTGACATAATTGCTGTAGACTGATGCCGAATCAAATATGTCGACAGTAAGGGCACCTGCATCAGGAACGTTGGGTAGTTCCTGCACAAGGCATGGATTTGTAAGGTGACCAGTGCAGAGGTTACATAAACCGCGGGTGTCGGACCTTTACCCGCACCACCCTTTTTGTTAGCAGAGTGTAAAAAAAAAATCTCACCCAGTTTCCGGAAAGGCGTCGCCGTTCATGATTGGCAAGGCAGACGGTAGTTGCAGTCTGACTAGTCGAAAGCGTCGAAGCGAAATGAAAGCCGAGTGTTGATGCGTTGTCAGTCGTAAAGCGGCAGGAAGGCTGAGAGCGGTTGGGGAACGAACAGGAGTGAATTTGGGTGGAGAATCAGGCCGAGGGTCACCAGTATTACATACTTTCTCGCAACGACATGGCTCGCTGCTTTAACAAAGGCAGTTTAAGGGATAGAAAGCATCAGGCTGGACCCATCGCGGCGCTTTGGCAGCAATATCATTGGAAGGAGTGGAAAAAGGGCAATGGCCCTTTTTTGGTGGACGCGAGTCGGTATGATGCAGGCTGAAGCAAGTTCCCACCTTTGAGTAACAATCAAGAAGATGAATCGGACATTCTCGACGAGTCAAGGCTCCAGTAGGCACCCGAGTTGTAGCTGATAGTGCATTTACAGTGAAATCACAAGAGATTGCAAGATGAAGTATACAAGGCTGATCGTTTGGAAGTGAGCAGTAGCCTTGAGAGCCGGCGGCAGTGGAAACACGCTATACCCAAGAGGTGTAAGGTTGGTACGACAATGGGTATCTAGCATCTCGGTTGATTAGCTACGTCAGTAGATGCGAAAGACCAAGAGCACATCGTCATTGAGGAAAGAGACCAAATACACCAAAGCAATAACTGTTGTATTTGAATAAAATCTTCAAAAGGTCCTTTCAACAATGAATAAAGCAACACTATCAACCCAACCAGAACTCCTCGCTAGCCAAGATAATAACAATGTAAAGAGGAAATCATGGTGCCGCTGGTATAAACTCGCAAGCTTATCAAGCCACGCGCACGTTGAATGAAGCCGCTTAGATAAACTTCCTGACCACCATGAACAGCAGGGCAGCCACCAAGCCATAAATGCATGTGTCAATCCAAGCAAGGTCAGGACTCGTTCGCGTAACCTGCTGGAGTGGCGATTGTGCAGGTGTGGTTCTCGTAGGTCTTATCACAGGCACGCTACGTGCAGCTTGAACAGGACTCGTACTTGGAGCCGTTACCGGGGTTGCACCAACTCCTGACGATGCGGTCGCTGTTTCTTTGCTAGCGGACGGCGTATCAGTCGCACTCTCGATTGCGCGCCCTTTGCCCTTATCCACCTTACTATCGCCATCCCCACCTTTGCCCAGCTCATCTCGATACGCTAGTCTCAACTCCTCAGGCACTTCTTCTTCCTTTCTCTTTCCCTCTTTTTCCTCAATCTCCTTGACAAGCGCAGCCCTCTCTTCGATAATCTCGGCATTGCTCTTTGCGCACCCCGCGCACTTCCACGCCCCACTCTCTTTGGCCATGCGCTGGCGGGCTTCCTTGCTGCACTCGATGCCGCCGAGCTGGCCCTTCGCATCCGTGTCCATGAAGCTTCTCAACGCGACGAGAGCTGTGCGGACACCCCAGGCGGGCTGCCATGTCTCTTCGTGATGGCCCGATATGCTGAGGCAGATCTCGCGGTTGACTTCGAAGCGGCCAGTGGGGGTCAGGAAGCGGAATGATGGCGGTCGCAGCGGGTACGAAGAGGGGAGAATGATGCGACCGTGGTATATGCCGCCTGCGTAGGGTGACGGTTCCGGCGGGCCGCAGATTGTAAAGTGCCACTCGAAGAGGTTGGTTTCCAGCGGCTCGGCATGGTAATCTGGAGAGGGAGATAGAGAAAGCTCCGAAGCTTCTTTCACTGCGATTCTCTTAGCTATGCGACAGCTCTGGTGAACAGAACGGGTACTTACGTATGCGCTTGATAGTGGGGTTCTTGGTGTTGAATTGCCCGCGAGTGGACATGGTGGAGAGAGGTGCGTGTGCGTGTGTCTGGTGCTAGAGCTAGGCGATAGGGTCAGTGGGAAGGTTAGTTGAGGAGATCGAAGTCTAAGTATATATGGATCAACAGTGGACATGCAGCGTCGGCGGTTGAAACGCAATGGCGCAGAATGCAACGTAAACGTCGACGCGCATTACGTCCTTGGTAAGCGCCGCACCGCCGATATCGATAAGCACGGCTCACTCCTCACCCTGTCTCTGCCTTGCCCATCGACGCGCATTTCCTGCCCTCACGTCTACGATGAAGCTTTTGCTGGGCCCTTGTTGGTTGGATTGCACCATATGTAATTAAATGAAAGACTTGAACAGCCGCGTGGGGTTCGCCTGGGCTGACCAAATCACCGACTCAGCCGGCGACGCCCTGCATTCACCCGTGACACTTGACGTCCGTCACATGCTTCCGTCACTCACACCAGATCACTGTTGCAACGGCTTCATTAATGTAACAGAGACAGTCAAATAACATTGCGCGCTAGATTCGATATATATATACATATGTACATGGCCAAACATCCAACGGCCTTAGAATCATCACCGTACCAGGCTATTGATATACGCCACACCTTGTTCCCGGTCACTGTCTCCTTCGACATAGCTTCGGTCCTTGCGAAACACAAAATTGTTGGCCTTGTCCGCGTAGCCTGGCCACTTGGGCGTATTCGGCACTGCGTTCTTTGTTAGCAGTTTCACACGACTAGCCTGAGCGATAATACATACCTCCATGGCCGTTAGGATCCAGATCATACGCAAAAGCCGTCCACATGCGCATTACGAGCTTGGAGAGCGCGAGGTTCTCGGGTGCGTTCCCCAACGGCGTCATCTGCTGTTCCGTGTTGCCAAACACAAATGGTATCTACCAACGTCAGCCTCGCCGAGTCCCATAATGACCAACATAGGTTGTTATTTACCTCGGAGAAATGGTTGACCCCGATGTTATCTGGCGTGTTGTTGAACTTTGGTGCATCCCACCGATATGAGTATACACGGTCCACATGCTCGCTCATGCTTTGAGCCAATAACCTTCTCGGGGCGTACATGGTCAAATCCGTCGCAATGCTCTGATATCGCTTGTATTGCAGCCCAAACTGCGGCCATGTCCGGTTGCCCCATCCATATGGTAGTCCAAGCACTGGGTCATTCGGGTAAAGCTTCAGCAGTGTTTCTGCAACACTCTCGTTGAAATTCCAGCGCTTCGAATGCAAAAGCTCATGGATGGCTTCCGAGTCGCTGTCTACACCATTGACACCGAACCCCTCATCCGTGTTTGTACCAAGGATAAGCGGGATCTTGGCAAACTTTCCTTGTTTCAACGATTGCTGTCCGTATCTGGGGATAAAGCTACCGTCTATTACATGAAACCATTCCAGGCCTCGAAATCCATGTGGTGCAATAGTCTCAAATGGTACATCGCGAAGACATCGAAGCGTGTCTTTTGTACCTGCACATCCGACCGTTTCCGTTAAATTGTCGTACATTTTCTGGTACCAATCCGTTCCGTTGAGCGGTGGGCCAACAGCGCCGCCACTCTCGAGTATAGCAGCACGGAAGAGGCCATTGTTCTTGCCGTCGTAAGCTGCAATGTGGTCGCCGACGGAATAAGCACCCGCCGACTCGCCCCATATCGTGACTTTTGAAGGATCACCTCCAAAAGCAGAAATGTGCTTGTTGACCCATTGCATTGCAAGCCGCTGATCGCGAAGACCGAGGTTTTCCGCGCCGGCTTTCTTGACCTCCTTGCTATACAAGAAGCCGAATGCTGCCATACGGTAATTGATGGATATGCCAATGACAGGCTTCTTATTCAGCACTGACTGCTCCACGATGAAGCTCATATTGTACCTGTATTGGATCAGAAAATATTTCCCATCATTTCGGTCCCCTCTCTTACCGTGGATCAGTTGTGGCGCCCTGTGTCCAGCCGCCCCCATATATCCACAGGAGAACTGGAAGCTTGGTCTCGTTCGTTCTCGGCTTGATGATGTTGAGATGCAAACAGTCCTCACCGATTCGAGTCAGATTTTTGGCCACCAGTGTGTTAGTATCCCCCCCATAGCCTACGCAATCAACTCCGTATTGTGTGGCATTGTACACCCTCTTTGGCGCATTGTCGATGAGTCTGGCAGGAGCGAAGCGGTCGGGCTTGGGCGCATACTTGATGCCTAGAAAGAGGTCTTGATCAAACTCGGCGAGGTAACGACCTTGATATATACCCGAATTTGAGTGAACAATAGGAGAAGCTGCAGTGGCAAAACTTGTAAAGCTCGCCACTGCCAAACAAGCACTGGAGAACTTCATGGCAACAACTGATTGCTGGCTGTACTGACACCTCTCCCTCTCTTCATATACTTCCAATATCATTACAAGAATGCTACGATTGACAATAGAGGCGTTCTCGTATACTGCGAAACTTCCACCAATCAGGCCTTCTAGAGGCGTTCTACTGTAGCTTGGCGATGCAGTGTTGGTCATTCTTTACACAACCCACTGCCAATAGCACCAACAGTCCTGCCAAGTAACCAAAGACCCCCAAGATCCAATCCCTCAACCCCCAGTCACACCGACCATCTCTTACACCATCTTTCTCGCAATAGTAGCATCGCTTTCATTTTCGTTATGTGCGGTACGTAAACACAGGATGCCAGAAGCGAGACCAAAAAAAACACCCAATAAGTCACATTAGCCGGGAAAATGCACCCTAAACCTGATAGTAGCAGGTCCTTTGGAATTAATCCGGGGAAAAAGCGCAAGCTAAGAGGCGTCTCCACAACTTCCCCCCCCCCTCCCCGCGCGCACAAAAAACAAACATGACGTCTCGCATACTTGTTTCTCTTTCAATCTGGCGGTTTGAGATTTTCTGTGAGAGAAACATACGGTGTTGCCGATTGTGTAGTGTCGAATCTTAGGGGTGGCATCCCCCCCCTTCCCGATCGCCCACCTCTGCGCTTAGTGCATTGAGTAGTATGGATAAAGCAAAATGAGCGGAGGTGGAGATTTGTAGGCTTGGCGAAAGGAACTAGTGAGATTGGGGATCGATCGAAGTGGTGGTTGGTATTTCGGGTAGTGATGCTGCATAAGCCACGTGCAGGAGGTTATGTGGAAGCGCGTGTGATGCGCGTTGTGCATTTTGATTTCTTGGTTCTGGGCTTTGTGAGGGGGGTTTTTTTGAGGGGAGATTGGGAGGCATGGGTTGTAGATTGTCGCATATTTGGCGGATGTGTTTGGGGATTGGGTGGATGTTGAGAAAAAATGGGGATGGTGGTGGTTGTACGGTCTTGCTGATGCAGGGTCGCGAATCGAGATTGCGAATGATTTCTTTTGGCTAGTAGGGCAGTGGTACCAGTCTATGTCTACGACTCTATATCCATCTAGCTCTTGAAGTAATAAATATTTTGCAGGATGCTGCACCTTAGAACAAAATGGCTCTAGCAGACCGAGGATTGATTTTAACAAGGAGTTGACAACTAACTCCGTGTCATTGCTAATTACCAATTCGTTAAAATCCATTCTGATCCCATCCAAGCAAGATTTCTGAGCGCTGGAATGTACAACTACACCAAGATGCCATGGAACATCCGCTGCTCATCAAATATCCGAAGGCACAACAAATGCCCCAAATATGAATCATTCAAGCGCAAAAATGGAAGCCACAATTTTGTCTAAACCGAACAGTGGATTCAGCAAGCACAAGGCTTCATGACGCAGTCAGTCTTTAAAAACTTTGATAATCGAGAGTTTAGACCAGAAACGTCACTTGGTGTCATTGGAATTCCTAACTTCCCAATCTCGGCCCAGCATCTTGTCATTCTTCATTACTTCTTCTTTATTCAAAAGTTGGGCCGGTGTGTACTTTCCACCCTCAATCTCGAATGTAGGATATCCCGTAGGTGGCGAGGTATCTTGATAGTGGATAAGCTTAGGGTTGTTACTACCACTACCATGTCAAACCGCTCGAGCCCTCCATTTGTCCTATAGCTGCAGCCAAAGATCATTTTCCTGGTTGTTCGAATAACGAGTGGCGGTGCTGTGTTGCATAAGGTTGGGGTTTACTGTTCTGCCGTAATGTGCAAGGAGAGCATGTAAGGTGTAGTAATAATGCGTTGAGTTTCCTCCTCTGTCCGGCCTTGATACAAGTTTAGATATAAGAGATCTATGCATGGCTGATCGGCGTAGATGTAAGATGGAAATGTGGTTAGGCAAGACAAGGGTTGATCAATGGAGTCTTGAACTAAACGAAGAACGAAAGCATCCTTTGGTGACACACGCAGTTGTGAGGATTAATCGAAGAGAGTGTGATGTAAAAACACCTTCCTTCAAATTCTTCATGCCTCGCCTCTGCCGATCTGATTTGTACGTGGTTGTGGATACCAATAATGTTCTAGATGGCTGCCATTCTCAGGCCTCCTTCCATGGACAGTTGGGATTAGCGAGATTTGATCACGTTATTTGAACACCCCGCGTCGGTCATTACCTTGTAACGAGTAGCTAATTGGTCTTCAACCCCGTCCGCATAGCCGAGGAGAGTATTTGTCCTGTTTCCTGGGCGCTGCAATGCTATTATAGGGTGGCTCGCTGGACGGCCGCGGATCTCAATTGTCGGTAGTGTGCAGGTAGCCCCACTTTGACTATACCTCTGTCGTATATATACATCAACCAGGACTTTTGTGATTCTCGGTCATGTCATTGTTTTCTCAAAAAGCCTATGTGTGCTGTTTGTTGAGAGAGTGCCAACTACACGCTTCATCGTGGCATGTTGGGATTTTGCCGGTTTCGGCTGGTTCGTCTAGTAGCCAAGATGCGGGTCGGAAAGACTCGGTGTCGTGGCATGGAGCACATCTTCCGAAGGGATCCATTTTCCTTCGTCCAAGGACCGATTTCGATGCGGGGTGGGCGTTGATAAGAAAACGGTACTAATTGTAGACCGGATGCTTGTATGACGATTACGAACCCGTCTGTCCCTTGCACAGCTAACGTAGTTGTCCAGATTGGTATGAATGTTGAGATTGTGGAATGTTCCTGTTATCGAGAAATAGTCCAGGAAGGAACGCCCTAAAGGATGTTCTGGCCTTTGCTACCCAGATCCATGGGCTTGGTAAAGATGTATTTGGGCCCTATTAGATCGAGGGGCTGCAGTGTGTTTTGGTTGACTTTGGGCCCCGGCAGGAGATGTTCTTCGTCAGAGTGGTGTGGGAAAATTAGCTCATCATCACATGCGGGCTGGATGAATACAGATAAGCTCGTGTTGCAGAGGCCATGTTCTGCCGCCAGATGATACAAGTGGCCGGTGTCATCAAGCTGGGTGAAAGTGTGGTGGTTAGCTGTTTTCGTGGCCGTCGAATTGTCGGATTGTATGTATTAGTTTGGCCTGGTGTCGGGGCAACGTGCTGCATCCATTGGCATTTGTATATGCGGGAGCAGGTCGGGTGGGCACGTGATTCGTTGTCTTGTGGGCGAGGGAGTGGACACGTCCACAGCAGTCGGTTTGCCGCCCACAGTCTCCCTATTTACCTACCATAACGGTCGTGGATGGGCTTGCACTAGTGATGCAAGTGTTGGAAAAAATGGCGTGTGCGTGTGTGTGATGGTGCAGAAGCTCGAACCGTTGGGCGGCCTTGTAGCCAGGGACGGGCTGGAGACGGCGAGTGTTTCGGTACTTGCTATTCGCTGCATGCACGGTGAAGGCGAGGGACAGCATTAGCCACACAGCTGCTGCATAGGAGTACATAGATATGGGCATAGATATGTATACTTGCAGCGTCCGATGCAGCAATCACAAGTACGGCGAGTGTGCCACAGAGCGATTGCGGGCTCGGGGAATTTAGGAAGCACGGGGAGGGTCTGACAGAGTGCATGGCGGTGGCAGGGGGTGGCTGCATGCCGCAGCCCAAGCCGACGTGGGCTGCAGCAGTCGCTATCGCATGCCGACGGCGACAAGAGGTATTGCTTGCGAGAGTGCTTGTTACGAGTGGCTGTGGTTCGTCGTGGGGGACTGCAGGTTGTTGTCAAGGTGGAGGCCTCTGCTCGGATTCTCTCCCGAAACAGCGGCGGAGGCCTAGGCGAGGCACAACCAACACCAAACCCCTAAAAACGCCCTAGCCTGCCAAGCCTAGACCACCATTTTCCGGGGGCAAAAAACCTTGGGCATTTGTTGGGGGCAAAAAAAACCCGCCTACCAGCCCATCCGTGCTTCCTCTGCTCCAAGCATCTAACGACAAGTATGTACAGTGTGAGCAAGTAGAAAGTGCTGCTTCACTCTCACGCCGGGCTGTGGCGCCGTACCACTTCCGCTCAGGGTCCTCCACTCCTTGCTGTCCCCCTTCCAACCCACAAAATCCTCTTGTCCAGCGTGTGGGCGGGCGGGCGTGCGTGCGTGCGTGCGGCGGAAAAACCCAACCAAGGGCCCACCATCCACGCCTGGGCCTCTTCGGAATTGATGAGCCCCGTAGCAGATCTTCAGGGCCCACGGGGCTTCGTGTTATCGCCTCCCAATCCGGTTACCCTGCGGCTCATCTCCTGGACCCTGAACCCTTTTTTTGCAACTTCCACGCCCATTCACTGCCACCATGTACCTAATTCTCCTTCTCGCTAAAACCCCGACACAAAAAACAACAAATCACACTCAATGACGCGTAGACTTGGAATCCCACGCATTGGCTTCCTCCCATATTCCTTTGGCCCTCCTGGTCGGCTATCTTGCCATCTCTCCAACACGGCTCACCGCAACGTGTTCACCCCTGGGGCAGCTAGGGCGGGCTGTGCGCCAACGTTGAAATCTCGGTTCGAGACCCACTGTTACGTACCGCCATAGACACGAAGGCGGTGTCTAATGCACATCGCTGCCCTCGCGACCTTGAAACGTATGTCGGGTCCGTTGAGCTTAGGCTGTATCAAGGGGCAGAGTTTTCGTGCTCAACTCAGCCGCTATCGGTACAAAAGGCTGACTACCGTCCCCTCCCCGTGTCTGAACGAGTGTCCCTTCCATCCCCTTTCTTTCCAACCATGATTACGACCACGTCCCGCACCCACGAGACTCCTCTCAAGACCAGGCTCACGGCTGTTGCCGATGTGAGGCCCATTCCCGACGTCAAGACCCTCAAGGATGCCATTCCCGCAAAATGCTTCGAGCGTTCCATGCTTCGCTCCTTCTCCTACGTCGTCCGTGATCTCATCGTCGTCTTCTCCCTTTTCTATGCCGCTGTGCCCCTGTCTCGCCTAGACGCCCCCTGGTTCGTCACCGTCCCCCTGTGGGCCCTCTACAGCTTCGTCCAGGGATGCTTCTTCACTGGTCTCTGGATTCTTGCCCACGACTGCGGCCATGATTCTTTCTCCGAGAACCTCACCGTCAACGCCATCACCGGCTGGTTCCTTCACTGCATGTTGATGGTCCCATTCTTCAGCTGGAAATTCAGCCACGCCCGCCACCACCGATACCACAACCACATGGACAAGGACACCGTTTTCGTGCCCCACCGCAAGTCCGACGTCGAGGCCAAGAAAACCAAGCCAACCATCCTCGAGAAGATCATGGACCACTCAGCCGCCGACACGCCCATCATCACCGTTGCTTCTCTCATCTTCCACCAGGTTCTTGGCTGGCCAGCTTACATTCTGATGAATGCCGGTGCTGGAAAGAAGAGCTTGACCAAGGGAGACCGCTACACTTCGTCTCGCTACAAGCAAAGTCATTTGGATCCTACTGCCCACGTATTCACCCCGTCCGAGGCTCCTTTTGTTGCTCTGAGCAATGTCGGTCTCATCCTCACCATGACTGCTCTCTATGTCTGGTCCCGCAGCGTTGGAACCTCGACCGTTCTTCTCGCATATGGTCTTCCTTACCTCTGGATGAACCACTGGATTGGTAAGCATATCGTTTCCCGAGCCCCGAGATACTGAAAACTAACTCTCTATAGTTGCCATTACCTACCTTCACCACACTCACCCCGAGGCTCCTCACTACGAGGCTGACAACTGGACTTTCATCAAGGGTGCCGCCTCAACTGTCGACCGCGATTTTGGCTTCATTGGCCGCCACATCTTCCACGGCATCATTGAGTACCACGTTGTCCACCACATGTTCCCGTGAGTTTACCCTGTACTAAGCCACCACGTCTTGGTCATTCCAACTCTTTGCACTGAAACCAACTAACGTATATTAGACGCATTCCCTTCTACCACGCTGAGGAGGCTACCTGGGCCATTGCCCCTCTTCTTGGTGAACGCTACATCCAGCAGAAGACCAACTTCTTCGGCGACTTGTGGCAAAGCTTTACTACTTGCAAGACCGTTGAGCCAGGAACTGGTGTCCACGCTGGAGGATTGGTATGGTCCAAGACTAAGGCTTAAGGTTGTGCAGCTTGGTTCGCGAAATGAAACGAGGCAAATGAATAGACTCTAGACAATAGAAGGTTTAATCCGATTCTATCTTTCAGTAATCCTGGGCACATGTCTGAAGGCAACTGGGTGAGATGTATTGATTTGAGAGATCTGGTCGGTGTTGGCTAGGTGAGCTGCCGACTCATGACGTCGTGTGTTGGTAATATCCGATCACGTGAATGAACAAGGTGGTGCAGACATTCCAATTTGCTTGGGTTGACTGATTGGGAGAACTCCTCAATCTCCGGAATCGATTCCAGAGACGAGGCTCATTCTCTCGTCTTGCCTGATACCAGGATCCTCGTCGTGTGGGGTGTTTTTTTGTGGCTGAGATGTTGCTGTGTATATCATATTAGCTCCTTTCGCCCGCGACTATTCAAGTCTTGCGGCCCACGTTCAATCTCCTCCTTGATTCGTCCGACTTCTCCTTTCCCATACATATCTTGACCGCAACAGGTTAGTAGCCATCTAAAATGAAGTCTCCTACGCTTCTAGGTTCGTATAGCCCCTCATCAAGACCCAACAGGCCGGGTTCTGCGCAATGACTATCTTCTTACAGTCGGGCCTACCCGAAACTCAAAGACTTAATAATGCGGGGGTGGGGCGTCTGTATTCCTCTCCACCACATCGGCAAGTGTCCCACAGCTTCCACAAGGACTTCTCGTGAAATGCTTGAGAAATCTTTAAAAAGCATGTGCAAGCAAGCGATTAAGATGCAAACTCCAGAAGTCACTTCATTAGCAGAATGGCCACCGTGGATGTTCAGCAACCTGTTGTTCCACCAACACTCCCTAACGTCGAATTGAAAGAAACGCCCCAGCGAAAGACCAACGACATCTATCACGGACTCACCTCAAGATGGCCCGTCGCTCTCGATCTCGCAGGAGGAGGTGCACCTTGCCGTCTAGAGGGTGAAGTAGGCGATCTGGTCGTCTTGGGCGAGATTCCAAAAGAGTTAAATGGCACCTTTTACCGCGTCATGACGGACCCATTTGTCCCGCCCCACCCCAACAATGTTCCCCTTGATGGAGACGGTCATATTTCTGCCTTTAGATTCCATGATGGAAGAGTGGATATGAAGTTGAAGTATGTTGAGACGGAGCGCTATTTGATTGAACGCCGGGCCAACAGGGCCATGTTTGGGCTTTACCGCAACCCTTATACCCATCACCCATGTGTGCGGGCCGCAGTCGACTCAACCGCAAACACAAACCTTGTTCTTTGGGCAGGTCATCTGCTGGCACTCAAGGAAGGAGGCCTACCTTACTCAGTGGACCCTAATACACTCGAGACTGGAGTATATGATCCCTTTGGCCAAGTCAAGTCCAAAACATTTACCGCACACCCCAAGGTGGACCCATACACGGATGAGCTGGTCGTCTTTGGTTACGAAGCAAAGGGTCTTGCGACAAAAGACATTGTCGTGTACACGCTGGATAAGGAGGGAAAGAAGAAGGATGAGCAATGGATCCAAGGTCCTTGGGTTGCTGCAATCCATGATTGTGCAATCACCCCAAACTGGTTGATTCTTGTGCTATGGCCCTTTGAAGCCGACGTCGAACGAATGAAACGCGGAGGTCAGCACTGGGCATGGAACTACGACCGCCCCGCAACTTTCGTAGTCATACCACGGAGAAAGACCACCAAACTTCCGCCTGGCTGGAAGGAAGGCGAGTGGAGGGTGTACCCATGGGAAAACTGTATGCTCGTGCACACCGCAGGCGCATGGGAAGACGAAAACCATAAACTCTACATCGAAACCTCTCGCGTCCACGACAACGCATTTCCCTTCTTCCCTCCCGACGACGGCAGAATGCCCGCACCCGACGCAAAAGCCGATTTCGTACGTTGGGAACTCGACCTCACCAAGCCAACCGACACTCGCCTTCCCGATCCCGAAATCATCGTCGATGTCCCCTGCGAGTTCCCCCGCATCGACGAGCGCTTCAACACCAAACCCTACCGCTACATCTTCCTCGACGCCTTTATGCCTTCGCGCTCTGACGGTGGCAAAAACATATTCCATGGCCTCAACGCCCTGGCTATGAAAGACACCCAAACAGGCAGTATGCGCTTCTTCTACGCGGGTGACGGCTCCCTAGTCCAAGAACCAGCCTTCATCCCCCGCTCCGACGATGCTCCTGAAGGCGATGGATGGGTTGTAGCGATGGTGGAGAGGAGAGAGACGAACAAGAATGATATTGTCGTGCTAGATACGAGGGAGTTTGAGAAGCCGGTTGCGATTGTCCAGTTGCCGATTCATGTTAAGGCGCAGGTGCATGGAAACTGGGTCGACGCGGCGAGTTTGGAGCAGAAGAGCTTGGTGAGGGAGCCAAGGCCGGTGAAGGTTAGTGGCAAGGGGGCGCTGGAGCCTATTGAGTAGGAGAGAGGAGATGAAGTTGTTTGGATGTAGTAGCTGTTGCTTTCATACTAGTCTTGTTTTTTGCATTCCAAATGCTCGACTAGGTCACGTTATGCGAATACTCGACCACGCTATACTACCCCTGAATCGTTTGTGATTGTCTTTGCCCCCCGTATCTTCTAACCTCCCTCCGTATTACAGCCGTAAACACACTACGCAACCTACTTACAATATTACCCCAAACCAAAAAATTCCTAATCCTCGAGTACTAACGATGCCAAATGTCGAATCCGTGCACTATCTCTTCCAATCACCATAATGCGCCCGTAGCCTAAAAGCCTTTTAGGTGGAGAGACTAATAACGACGATTACGCTCTTCGTTGAGTGACCCCATCCCTGGTTCGGACGAGGGAAATACGAGGCTATCTTTTCTTATAGTAATTTCACTCGACACTACACTGTAAACGGTATAGTAGCATCGTAGCTATAGGGATTGTGATCCCACTAGTTATCTATCCCCTTGACTAGCGGCCCAGACACATGAAGTTCACCCCTACAACTACACTGCTCGGAATTCCTTCCCACCAATCGAAATCTACTTTGGTAATTCATCCCGACTAATAAACCTGAAGCGACTCGGAGCCGCGATCCATGATACCTGCGGTGTTTTTTATCGTGTATACGGCTAGGGAGAGGGAGATGTCCAAAGTATGGTATAGATACCATGGTATCCTGGTTCTTTAAATTAGGTACTACGCATGTTGACTCCTTTCTCTCGTCATAACGTAGTGGATAAGCGAGTCGCGCAGGCAAGCGAGTCGCGCACCTCACCAAACCTGCGCACCTTGTTACAAGTAACAAGAAGGATTCTCCCCTTGACAAATGACGAGATGGCTGAAGGCCTATGGACGTCCACGTCAAAAGGTAATGGACATTGCGG